CTCTCCCCAAAGCAGTGTACTTGGCAGCATTCTCACGCTCTTGTTGAGCCTTCTTCTTCATGGCTTCCCGCTCTGGCCTCTGCTCTTCTGTGATGGGAGTTGATATTACTTGCCCAGGAACATTGGGTTTCCTCCATGGAATTGGTTGTAAGGCAAAGTCTTGGAGTAGATATTGGTTTTGAGGCTTGGGCGGTTGTGACTGGGGCTTGGTCCCAACCGTGGGAACAGGTTGCCACTGGAGAGAGGTGCAAGATGATGTTTTGTAGGGTGCAGGCCTAGAAGCAGCAGACGGAGGGGCACTAGGCTGGGTAGAAGTGGTCAGACCAGACTGGGTTGCACTGGTTAAAATTGGCTGAGCTGGCTTGGCAGGACGCATCCAAGATGGGTTGGCAGTAGCTGGTTGGGATTGGTTGACTGCCATGGGTTGAGCTGAGCTAGCGGGACCAGGCTGGGCAGGATAAGCCCCAGTGGGTCTGCGTGAGGCCAAAGACTGTGGCCTCCTATTGATTACTGGTCGAGGTGGAGGTTTCTCCAGGGTCAGAAAAGGCAAAGGTACCAATTTAACCTTCCCAGGTGGTGGAGGCTCATAAATGGATGGAGCGGGACCCTCCCTTTCAGCACTGATATCTGAGTTCTGGGCTTTGACTTGTGTTTTCTCAGGACCCTTATCCACCAGCCATGGTTTCATAGCTGGGCATGGACGGGGGTCTTGGGTACTGCCTGAGTTTCCCGGGCCCCGCGAGGAAGAGAGCCCAGTTTTCTTATCATTCTTCTTCCCCAGTGCATGGAAAACCTGCACTGACTCCAGCATGTGCATGCCGAGACAGCTCCGAGGCTTCTTAAAGGTCTCTTGGCAAAGCTCAGGGGTTCCTCTTCCGTTTCATCTTGGGCATGGTTGGCTTCTCTTCTGCCTTGACTTTGTTGCCTGGCTTCTTCTTCTCCTCGGCTTTCCTGGAGTTGTTTTCTCTGGTCCTCTTGGTCTTTTCCTGCCCATGGCCCTTAGCCTTGCTGTTTCTGCTGGATGCAGCTTTCTGAGCTTTGCTGATAGAGTGCTTGGCTGTGTGCTCAGGGGCCCCAATACTGTCTGCATCCCTGTGAGCACCTTCTCCTTCCAATGTGCACTCTTGGTCCCTTGGCTGCATTTTGGCCTGAGGAGTTCCATCAGGAGACTCTGAAGCTTTATGTTTATTGTTCTTCACTGGATCACTAGGACTCTTAATGGTACTTGTGGTTTCCTGCCCCTGATTCACCATGATGGCTCTGGTGTCATTGGATTTTGTTGTTGTGGGACTTTCAGTTTGGTCAAAGTCTTTCAAGGAACTGAAAAGCTCAGGAAGGTGAAAATCCCCCACCAGTGCAGTGAGGTCTTCAAATCCACTGCTAAATTCAATCCCATTTTCAAGGGTGCCTTGGTCCTCAAGACCCAGGCTGTTGTTTCCCAGATGGATATTTTCAGAATGTGGCTTCTCCTCTTGGTCCAGAGGACCAATGGAGGCCAGAAGCTGGTGGATTTCAGGGATGTCTAAAGGGAGTAGTGGAGGATCCTGGTTCTCCATGGATAGCTGGTAGGCATCCAGTGGCTCTGAGAGCATGGTTTTAATCTCACACAAATTCTTAATCTCTGTTTGTTCCTGGCTTTGATTTGGAGGCAATGCCAAGAAATCAGAAGAACTCTGGACTGGAGTTATTATGGAAATGTCCCCAAGTGCAGTTGGTGGGTTTCTCTCAAGTATTTGGATATTTCTGCTACTGCAGGAGTTGGGGAATTCTGGAGGTTGTGGAAGACAAAATGTCTGACTTGGAGGTTGCAATCCCAAGGAAGCCTCCATCCCTAGGGAAGTTTCCATCACTGCAAAGGAAGGAATCAATGAAGATGGTAAGTAGGATGCTCCCCCTGCCCAGCAACACACTAATCAGGGAATCTGCCAACTGTGGATAAGGCATTTCTATTACTTTTTAAGGACCATGAAGAGGACTCTGTAGGAGGTGCCTATTAGTTACAGGTGATCACTTGATGTCATAGTTTTGGGCTGGCACATCTTCATGGCAGCATGGCTCACTGGTAGAGCACTTGACTACTCTGTGGGAAATGCACAAAAACTGTTTTATGAAGTCTCTCTTGCTCATATAGGGGCCTCTCAATTCTCTCCACTCTCTTCGGAGTGTAAGAACACTTGACACCATGAACTAGGAGAGGGTGGAGCTGTTGCTCATGAAATATATGTGAAAAGATAGGGTTTTAGACCCCCTTCTTTGGGCAGCATCTCAGAATACAAAATTTAAGTCCTGGAGTAAATTAAGGAACAGTTAATCTTTCAGTACCCTGGTAAGTTTTGAAGTATCTTCCTAGGAGACCAAAGTAAAATGAGGGAAATAAATTTATAATGTGGTGATGTAGGGGGACCAATCTGCCAATGCAGTGAAAAGTAGCTTCCATCAGTGTGCTCCTGGAGGTCTCCTAAATGCATGGTGAGTGGCTATTATGGTGTCCTGCATTCTCATCTTATGGACACGGAGATTGGGAGTGCTGAACAAGTATAGTATTTAAAATCTCAGGACTTAAATTCCAAGGATCTGTGAACCCACAGCTACCAGCCGTAGATTTGACCCTCCTTTTGAATGCTGTTCTTATTCCTCCCACTTTTTGATGTTTGTACTCACCTTGAAAATTTGTTTCTGTGATAGGTTGAGTAGACACAGAATAGTAGATCCCATGGGTAGAGACTGATGGTAGGACATTTGAGGGCTGAACCTCCTTCAGCACTGTCACCATTTCTGGTTGAGGGGCAGCAGCACTACTTCCTGCATATGGCACAGATCCATAGGATTTCAGGCAGGGGCCATGATCTTCAGAGAGCAGAGTCCCCAGAGTGTTTTGATCATAGTAGTAGACCTGGCTTCCTTCTTGGTAGGGAAGTGACAGGCTATGCCCCTTATTTGGATTCTGAGATGGTGCTGCCTGCATAAGCCTGGCTGACAGTGTTGGATACACAGGGACCATGACGTTGGCATCAGAAGTGTTGTCATATTGGGCTGTCATTGACCTGGAAGAACCTGCTGTGTTTTGGTCAATGACAGTCAGAGTAAAGTCCCCGAGGGAAGATGAGCTCTTTTCAGCACTTTCTATGATATCCCACTCAAAAATACTTGGGTAGGAGGCAGATGCCATGGGAATCTGGTTCTGGCCAGTAACCCCAGACACCATGGCTGTGCTAGCATGTTGATAAAGGTAGGCACTGCCCATGAGTGGCTGGAAGGAGGTGCCACAGGTTGAGGGCAGTAACCATGCTGAAGTGGCAGCTGGAGCAGAGGCTCTGGAGAAGTTGCAGACACTTCCTGTCAGGGAAGCTGCATTGCTCACCACAGGGAGAGAGAGCTGCAGAGAATGTGCAGTCCCATGTAAAGAAGAATTTTGGAATTTTTCTGTAGGAAGCAAGAGGATAATTAAAAATTGATGAGACAGGCAGATTCTTACAATATTTAAGAAACAGTATTATCTGAATGTTGTATCAGTCAGGAAGCTTCTAATACTAATAATCATGGATGTACCCCAAATCAAACCATTTTGGATGTCTGCAAGTGTTGGAGCAGTTTGGTACTCTTCTGATCAATTACCTTTGCTCTCATATTGGGCTCAGAAATCCCAAGTAGTCTGCCTCACACATTGGTCCCTAAAAGCATCCTTCTCCCTGTCCTATCTTTCCTTTGAGCCTGCACTAGTATTGACTCATGTATTTTCCTTAGAACTGAAGCATTTTAGAATTTAGAGAACATCTAACATTATCAGTTTGCTAGTGATTAAACCAAGGGTCAGAGAAGATTGACTTGCTCAGTATCAACACCATGTTTCAGAAACTTACTCCTTTGCCAGGACTCTATGCTCCAAACAAAAAACAGAAGTCATGTGAAATAGAATTTTATTTTTCCCTGTTTATAGAAAACAATACTTGTCTCACCACTGTTATCTTCGGAGTCTCATTTTGCTTGTGCAGATCACATTAAATTTCCTAAAGTTCACTGTTAACATCCAAATGGTAAATTTATTTTTTTTTATTATTTTTTTTTAGTTAAGGAAGGGTTATATTTAGACTCAATAATATTTCTCACTTGAAGAATCCCAACCAAAAGACCAGTGCAAAAAAGGCTTCATATTAACTAAAATGAATGCTAAGGAGAAATATTTTAGTTATGGATAGGAATGAATCAAAATTAATTAATTGCTCTATAGCTTAGAGTCCCAGTATTTTATCAGATGCCACTTCTAAAGTCAGGGATAAAATAAATATGAAATTTGAAGAATAAAGCATCTTTTTAAGTTGAGCTGCTTAACTGTAACCCCTGTCCCGCAGTAAAGGAATGTGCATATTTTGAACAATTCTGTAGCAGCAGAGCGTGCACTCAGTAGAACACGAAGTATTTTTGCTTCTTATGGCAAAATACAAGTATTGAGTAAGAAATAGAATTTCCTTACCCTTTTTTGACTGCATAACTCTCAATACAAGAAGCCTGTTTTTAAAATGTGAACTTATTCAAAATGCATAAAAATGTAAGAATGTACAATATACTTACATACCTCCTAGTGGGGTCAAATGAGTGCCTTTCATTAGACATACAAAGATGTCTCAAGGCACTTAAGGGGTTAAGACACAATGCATGCATTCCTTTACATCAAGTATATGAAATCACATGATTTGGAATAAGCCAACCTTATGATAAATATAATTACATTATTAAATTCAAGAAAATTTGTAGATTCATATCTATACTTTTTATAAGATGCTGGTAAATGGACAATGTGCAGCATTTCCTGGGAATAGCAAATTCCACCTTTCTTCTTCTGAACAGCAGGTCTCTAGAGGGGGGCATGTAGGGAAAGATGTGCTGCATCCATAGGCAGTGTATTGGCTAATATTGAGAATGATATTGCTAAAATCTTAAAAATAAAATCTGATAATCAGTATAGTAAGTACATGATCCACTGGAAAAAAGAAAGCCAGAGCTGACTCCTGATATTTACTTCTTTTTGCTTTCAAGATACAGGTGTACAACAAAGATGATGAGGATTCTGAGCCTCGCTTGTGGCAATTCTACCAGAAGGGGACTGCATGGCACCACCACAAATTTTCATAAATTACCCTGAACATACTCAGTTATTCACTATTTGTTCGGAGCAAAGCATGAAATAGTCTTCCAACACATGAGTTATAGATTCTGAAGGGTTGACTTTTTTTTAAAACATAAAGTGCAACAGTGCTGAAGTTTTCAAAGTTCTTTTTTTTTTTTAGTTCTTCGTTTTTTTGTGAGATGCCATTTCCTGCAAGCAGTGTCATGGCACAGTGAATATAATGAAATACAATGAATAGCAGTTTTCCAACATGTATTTCAGATCTTTTCTTATTTATTTGACGATGTCGTTAAGGGTTTAATAAAGCCTTCTTCATAAACCTTCAAAATAGCTTCACATACAAATCTGTATTGACTAGGTGTTTGGATCATCATGGCTCGTTGATCTCTCATTGTTCTTACAATATCTAGTGGATAAACTGGCTGATTGCATTCAATGAGACACATGGCTGTTTCCATAGTAATAAGAACCCCAGTTCTTCCAATTCCAGCACTGCAATGAACAACAATAGGTTCTTCTTTGCCAGCCCTCTTATTTCGTACATGACAAACAAAATCCAGAAAGTCACTTGAATCATCAGGGACTCCATGGTCAGGCCAGGCTATGTACTGGATCTGAGTGAGTTGACGACTCTCATTTTTCTCTTGGTTGAACAGTGTCATATTCCTGAAGATATAGGCAGCATTTCCTTCTTCTGAATGGCAGGTAACTTGATAGCATCCATAGGATGAACTACCTGTGGGTTCTGGCCAATACTGATGACATTTAACTCTGCCACATTCAACTTGTGTGGTCAACATTACAACCATGGAGGAGCCTTGTTCCCAAGTCATTTGCCAAAAATCTGCACAAGTGTGTGGTAACGGCCCTTGACAAGCAATGTACTGATTGATAATGCTTGAAGAAGGAATTTCCATATTTATATAGTTTGCATTGATGTAGTCTTCATTACCTTTTAAAATGACCCGTGTAGCATCATAAGGCGAAATGTCTCTGTATCTATTTTTGGAAATATTCTGAGGTAATTTGGCACAAGACATTGTCATTCCAGGTTTTTTACGATACAGTTGATCAAATTGTGTCAGGACCGTTCCAGTAATAAGCCCCTCAGCTAGCTGGACCATTGACTCCCGCAGGGAATGGTCATCTTGATGGACACTATCTAGTGGGGCTTTCTCAGGAATGTACTGGAAGTCTGGTTCATTTTCTAGTTTTTCTTCCACTACATCATACACAGCATTGGGTCGAACTAGAAGCACGAGTTCCCCAGAATGTCTTTCACAGCTAGCTTTAATAAATAGGACAACTCGATCATGGGTATGTTCTGTAATGTCCCGACCATTAATTAGTACAACTTGGTCCCCTTCATTCAATCAAGGGACACAGAGGTCAGCAGGTGTTCCTGGTGCTACTCGGAACACAATTACAGGCATCTTCTGATCATATCCTCCCTTTACATTGAATCCAAACCTTCCATTTTCATCAGGTTTCATTCTGATTAGAACAAGATTATCATGTGGAATACCACCATTAGGAGTAGATTTTTCAGGGGAAGATGGTATATCAAATGCTTCATTAGTATGATTTTCCAGATCTTGCTGAGAATGTGAGTATTGAATTTGGTTCCAACTATTTTTCTTAGATTGTTTAGGTGGTAAAGCTGGGGGTTGCCCATCTTCAGGTGTTTCTTGTGATGGTGATGATTCCAGAATGATGCTATTAGCTTGTGTAGATGATGGAGATCTCTGACTCACAAAATCTTCACTTTGTGAAGTGTGAACCACATGGTCTACCAAATGACCAACTGAAGATGGTCGTAATTGGGTTCCCTCTTGTGTGAATGCAGAATTTCGATGATTAGGAGTCCCAGGTGGAGATCGAGATGGAAGGCTTTGTGTTTCTAACCTGTCATCAGATATTGAATTTCTGCTTACTACTTCCCAATCCATTAATTTCCGTGCCAAAGGTTTACTTGGGGATCTTGCAAATACCCTGTCTTTATTTGCCTTTTCTTTGCCATACTGAACTGACTGGACTTCAGTTCTCCCACAGTACCGGAATTTTGAACCTAATGTAAAATAATGTGCAAAAAAATTCTTTTGAGGTGGAAGTGGTCTGTCCAAACGGAAGAATGTGTGATGTTCTACACATGCTTTCCACAAATTCTTACAAGCTCGGTAATTCACCATATTAAATCCCAGTAGTGTTTCTCTAGATTCATGCAATTCCTTTCTAAGTTGAACAAAAAACTGTTTGCACTTAAAAGAAATCTTCACAATCTTCAACCATGGAAAGGTATTCATTCGTACCCGGTTCTTATAAATCAGAATTCCTCCTGACATCACACCAATCATAATTTCATTGTTACTTTGATCCCTTGCATAGTGGAATTCAACTCCATAGAGTTCTAAGGTACGTGCTGTGTTCAGGTAATTAAATTCTGCTTCTGCAGGAGATAAGCCCATATGTTGGTGATGTAATTTTGCAATTTCTTTTTCAAAATCTTGAGGTTGATTAGGAATGAAAGAATAATCTGAGAGGTAGCCTGGCAAGTTTTCTGACTGACTGTAGTCTCCAAGTTCAGACTGAATGGCAAATGAAGCTAAAAGGGCAGCAGTATTATAAGGACAGGGTAATCTTCCAGTAAGAATGTCTTGTTTGATTTGCAAAAAATATTGGTACCTTGTATACTCTTCTTGTAACTTGTTGGGGTCACTTTCAAAAAATTTGACTCTAAAGTTCAAACTGTAAGGAGATCCTCCTAGAATTAATAAAAGCAGTTTCTTTAGCTGCTTCCTTATTGGTTTGTTTGGATCCAGCCACCTTGGGTTATCTGTGGAATCATCAGCCAACTGTAAACCAAAATAGTCTCGTTCAGTCAAATCAAGATGCTTGAAGACTATATCCAACAAAACTTGTCCCAGCTCATTTTTATTAACTTTGAAAGCTTGTACAGTGTTATCCAGAAGAAGGATGTTGCAAACCACCTCTGTATTTTGTCTGTCTCGGGCCAACTCTGATGCTCGTACATTGTAGGTTCTGCTAGCAGGCAATCGGAAACGTGAGGTCATTACTGTCCACACAAGATATAGAGTTCAGGCACCGCGAAACGTTCCATCTTCGTACGTATTCCATCCCTTGTTCCTTCATTCACCCATAACAGATTTCAACTATAACGTTGGGAACTTCGTATCACAGCCGCGTCCTCTCGGCTTTAGGAAAAAAAAACCTCGAGGCCCGGACGCACCCGGGAGAAGCGCGTCTGCCGCGCCGCGCCGCTCCGGGGGCTCCCTCAGCGCTCCCCTAGCAGCAGCCGCCGCGGCGGCCGTGCCACGGCCGGGAGCCGCCAGCACCACCTCATGCTGCGGGGCTGCCGCGGGCCAGCGCCGCCCGGGAAGTGGCAGGGAGGCGGACAGCCGGCGCCCTCTCCCACCTCCCTGCGGGGATGAGATAATCCACACCCCCCAAAAAGCGACGTGGGGGAGGGGATCTGGGGCGGGGGGCCTGGCCCCAGATCTCTGACCCTCCGGCCAAAGCCAAATCTCTTCCCGCCCCAGCTCAGGCCCAGTTTCAGCCCCTCCAAATGTAAATTTAAAGTGTCATTCTTTATCCTTTTCAAGCCTGGCTTCTGAATGTAAGTTTCTCAACAACAACAACAACAAAAAAAGTTATTTGTGCTTTCTGAGCTTCAGGTTACTCATCTGTAAGATGACTGCAAAAATATTAACAGTGATAATTCTTCCGTGAATAAGAGTGACACTACATAAGATTCATACAGAGGAAAATATAGTAAGTTCTGGAGAGATAGAAATGAAAACACAGAACTAAAAAGAATAACTAGATTCTAATGAACATTTGGATATATAGCAAACATCAAAGCATAGCAAATTTACTAACAAATGAAGTTCTGTTATCATGCATTGCAATAGTATGGAAATGAGCCTTTCTACTTTATTTTAGTGAATACTGTTAACCAAAACACTGCCCACAATTAAAGGTGATTTTAAATGAATTTCTAACCAGTACATATTCACAGATAAACTATCTCATCAAAAAGTGTGTAATAAGCAGCAAAATTCAACAAAAGTGAACATATAGGTAGCCACAATTTATGTAGATAAATATTTCAATAAAAAGGATATAAAGGGCTGGGTTTGTGGCTCAGTGATAGAGCACTTGCCTAACATTCATGAGGCAATGAGTTTGATCCTCAGCACCACATAAAAATAAAATAAAGATATTGTGTCCACCTAGAACTAAAAAATAAATATTAAAAAGGGGTTATAAAGGCAGATGCAATGGCACACACTTATAATCTCCACTACTCAGGAGGCTGAGGCAGTAGGATCTTAAGTTTGAGGATAGCTGTGGAAATTTAGGAGACTCTATCAAAATAAAATGTTAAAAGGGCTGGGATGTAGCTCACTGGTAAAGTGTCTCCATGTTCAATCCCTGGTACTTCAAAAAACAAAGCCAGAATCAACCCTGCCATGTTCAAAAGCAAAAATCCACTATGGGGTGGGCCTCTGGTCCCATCCCTGAGGAGACTGAGGCAGTGGGTTCACTGGAGCCCAGGAATTTAAAGCCACTGTGGACAATGTAGCAAGATCCTATCTTAGAAACAAACAAAATAATGTGCTGGGGATATAACTTGTGGTAGCATGTTTGCCTAGCATGTATGAGACCCTGCTTTCAATCCTAGCACTGGAAAGAAAAAAAAAAAGGAAGGAAGGAAGGAAGGAAATTTTTACAAATTAGAGAACAAAAGAAGAAATGTGCTTCTTAACCAGATCAAGTAAACGATATTAATCCTATTAGGTACATATTTCAATTTATATAAAAACATCTTTTGATAAAAATGTCAGTTATCAAAAAACAGAAAAAAACATTTTAAAAAATCATAAAAGTTATATTTATTTATTCTGAAAACCTAGTTTGTAATCATCTTTAATAGGAAAATGTTGTCCCTAAAGTCTGATAAAACTATTACCACTAGAGTACAATAATACAATTAAAATAATTTTTTCATGTTTACTTGTGCTAGGGATTGAACCCAAGGCTTTCCACATGTGAAGCATGCACTCTGCCACTGTGCTACACCCCCAGCCCAAAACAATTCTTTGAAATGTAGAAAAACCCAAAAGCCTTTAAAAAATTATCTTTGATGAACATGGAAGACTTTCTATTCTTACATAGGTCTTTCTTTTGGTTCTTAGGTTTAAAAACCATTAATGACTATTTGTATAAACTCTGTTTTAGAATGAAACTATCATAAAGACAAAAACAGTCTTCTGCTTAAAGACTACCTATCATACAAAGGAATGTGTCCTTCTGATGCAGATTAGGGCACATCATTTTTTCAAAATCCATGTAGTTTAAAAAATCAGAATAAAATAGGACATGAAAGTTGCTGTTTCCCCAGCCCTGTCAATAAGCACTTTCATTAGCATGTTTATAGGAAGAATCATTTCTAAAACTTACTTCTAAAATGTTCATATTCAAACTGTCAAGGTCATCTGTGTTCAATGAGGCCATAAAAAAACCCAAACAAACAGAAGACTTTTCTGATAAACTGCTTTCCCCAGTGATACCCTAATTCTAGCCTTAGTTTCCTTGCTAGTCCATTAATTTAAACATTTTCCAAACCAGCCTAATTTTCTCCAGCATTGGGAAGATTTCACTCTATGCTCTCTGCATTGATTTAAAATCTTTGGTTCTCCTCCTCCTTCCATTCCAACCAACCTCTTTTTTCTTGAGACCATCTCTATGCTCTTCATCTCTTTTATACTCACATTTCTTTTCCATATTGTTATATTCCCCGCCCTGCCCCCCGCCACACACACACCAAGTTCCTGTTGCCCTGTGCTTCAATAGCCACAAACTTGCTTCCCCGAGAACATCTGCCTTCTTACAGCCCTGTCCTCCTGCTCCCCTCTCCCTATTTCTCTTTTCACTTAGTTTAAACAGGAAACTTCGAAATATGTGAATGTCCCTTTTATGAACAGCGCTAAATGTGAAATACTGAAGTGGAAATCTTAGTGGAGGGAGACTGTTATAGAAGAAAACTCTTGGTACTTGATGCTAGTTTTCTACCCCACCTAGGATTTCTCTCTTTCTGTTCAAACAAACATACCCCCAAAATCTTATGTCATTCTCCATACACGTGCCCCTTAAGATTCAATATTAGAAAAGAAAAGGACCAGAGCATGGGCAGTGTGTTTATCCTCCTGTAGCAGATGAGGAAACAGATTTTGTGAGAGAGTAAAAGATGGTCCAGTCCCTACCTAGTACCTGTCAAAGTCAAAATGAAATTCGATGTCCAGATTTCTAGTTCCATCCTCTCCCCTATTATTCCAAGCTCTTGTGATTCCATTAGTAAATTTAGGCAGGTAAAAGTCAACGAAAAACTTTAAAACCTTACCTGACATGGTTAAGAGGTCACATCAATCGCAGATACAAAGGATGAGGAGACCGTCCCAGAGGATGTGTGGGTGGCTGAGGCTAGGGAATGCATGTTTCCCAGATCCTCCTGCCACACTGATGTTGCTTACTGGTCACTGGTCTCTTGAAATGATCCAAATTTGTTTACAATTGCATGGAAACCCTAAGATTCTACTAGGTGGCAATAGGTTTGGTGGGAGGATGATGTCACAAAACTGATAGTTTAAAGGTACAAGGTAGCCAATAGGGAGGTCAGATTCCCAACGAGAAGGTGGGATTGGGTAGAGAAAATGACAAGAGTTGATTGGGTAGAGAAAGTAACAAGAGAGTTATAACTAAATGGCCCAGCTCTGGGGAGACTGCAAGAGGGACATGATATGCCCACCTTCCCCAGGTGCTTGTGTTAAGGTTATCATCGCAGTGTTCCTTCTTAATCTTCATTAAAATATTATGAATATGTTATTTATTATGTTACACATTATAATAGGTAGTATGTAGTACATAATTATATTTACATATGCAGTTAATATCCCTGGAGATGGAAGAAAGAAACATCTAGATTGAGCAAGTATAGTTGTTCTGGAACCATAGAAGTTGATCTGATTAGTGAGTGAACTTACTGCAGCTTTGAAAGACGAAAGAAGGGGGTTAAAACACTCTTTTTTTCTTTTTTCTTTTTTTTTTTTGAGGTATAGATGGATGCAATACCTTTACTGTATTCATTTATGTGGTGCTGAAGATCAAACCCTGTGCCTCACACATGGTGAATGCTGTACAACTGAGCCACAACCCCAACCCTAAAGAGTTCTTTCATAACTTAAGGGTAGGGTGAAGTTCCTTGAGGGCACCCTCTAAGGAATAGTGTGGTCCAAGTTTCTCTTTAGTTTCTTCTTAAATACTATTTTCTTTGGACTAAGCTGGGTCAGGTTGGACTGGTAACTCTCCTGCTCTCCTTCCCCCACCCCTCTTCATTGTAGACATTGTTTCATGGACAAGCCTTGATTCTGCATTCTTATACTCATTGATATTACTTTCTTTTGACTTCAGAAGCAGGGGTCTTCTTTTCTGTGAACTTATTCTTTGAAAAATGGACTCTGAACAATAGAATTAAAAACTAGAGAAGTGGAAGCCCCAGCTGACTGTAAAATTTCCCTCTTCTGGGCTTTGATCACAATTCTTTCACCCACAATTTTCTGCAAATAGCTCCTTGTGTCACATAGACATCCTTCCATCGACCTCTTTCATATGTGAGAGGCACTGAGGATTATTTCCCTCTTCTTATATAAGTGAATCCAATGTGGCAGATACTATAACTTTCTCCCCCCTTGCAAACAGCCATTATAGAATCTTGGGCCTCTCACATTATTTGTCTGCCATACTTGCATGTAAGGCCAGGAAAAATGGAGAGGAGAATGGTTAGAAGAGAACATTAGTAGAATATAGGGAAAGCGAGGGTAAAGAAAAAGAGGATTAATATGGACTTTTTTGTGTGTCAAAAAGAAGTCAACACACTTTGATCTTATTTTGTGTTAATAAAATAGACAATTGGACAGGGGTGGGGGTGGTCCTGGGAATTCAAACCAGGGACACTTTGCCATTGTGTCTAGCCCTTTTTATTTTTTATTTTAAGACAATGTCTCACTAAATTGCTTAGGGCCTTGCTAAGTTGTACAAGCTACTCTTGAACTTCAGATCCTTCTGCCTCCGCCTCCTGAGTTGCCGAGATTACAGGTGTTATGCCACCAAGCCTGTAATTTATGTATATTAATGGAGCTAGCCAGAAAGTGCAGAAACTACCATGAATTCTATACAGTGATGATAAAAATCTTAAATATAGTTTTCTTATTTTGTTTTATGTCATATCATCTTATTTTTGTCATTCATTAGTGTATTTGGAGACTGTGGAGGGCTCTTAAAGGCTCTGGATTTTCAACTCACTTATTCTTTGTCATATTTTAAAGGAATCCAACACTGTAAGACATATTCCATGTTTTTCTACTGATGATTGTTTGTGGTGAAGCATCATGAATTAACTTGACTTGATGGATTTGTAGAGAAAGAAAGGCATGTGGAAAAAGCATTGTGGTAAGTTATACTGTGTACCCAAGAATGAGGTGTGTCTGTGTTCAGCCAAACTTGATCTAGATTGCTTTTGCTTTTGATCCCCTGGAGAGTGCATGTTTCACTAACTTATGTTTTAACTGTGATTAAAGTAACTCAGGACTGAGTAGTAATGATATGTATATGAGGACTAAGCTGGATTGGGGGAATAAATCAATGGATTTAATAATTTTCTACAGTCATTAGGTTTTTTTAAAAAATATTTTTTAGTTCTCAATGGACCTTTATTTAACTTATTTATTTATATGCAGTACTGAGAATTGAACTCAGTGCCTCACACATGCTAAGCAAGCGCTCTACCACTGAGCTACAATCCCAGCCCAGTGGTAAGCCTATAAGGATGTCTGGATTGATCTATTTGGGGACTTCCCTAGAGACAGTGAGTAGAGACTATGTGATTCAGGATGTCAAAAGCTGTAGGAAGAAAAGCTCTTATGAAGAGAAAATATCATATATAAACATTAATATTGCATTTATAGACATAGTTTCCCCATCTCCTCTAGTGCTTATTATGAAATATGATTTTTGGTGGTTTTGTGTGGAATAATGCTTAGCTAAGAAAGAATTATAGAAGGTTTGGCAGTAAAGATATGGTTTGGACTATGTAAATGTTTTCAAGTTTTTTTTCTTTTTAGATCAGTTTCATACCTCACATAACTTACTTCTTTTTTTTAAAATATTTATTTATTTTTTTAGTTATCGGCAGACACAACATCTTTGTTGGTATGTGGTGCTGAGGATCGAACCCCGGGCCGCACGCATGCCAGACGAGCGCGCTACCACTTGAGCCACATCCCCAGCCCCATACTTACTTCTATAATATTGGTATGTAATAGGAGATTAAGATTATATACTAAGAAATTGTAAGCCAGATCATTCCCTATGTTCTCATAGATATCAAGAGATTCCATAGCTGCTAAAGGTGAAGGTGGTATGTGTAAGGCCAGGAGGAATGTGATGTATTAGTTAGCTCTCTCTTAACGTAACAAAAACCTGAGATAATCAACTTAAAAAGAGAAAAGGTTTATTTGGTTCACAGTTTTAGATGTTTCAGTCCATAGTCAGTTGTCCCTGTTGCTTTTGGGCTTGTGGCAAGGCAACAAATAATGGAAGGGAGTACATGATGGAAAAAGTTGCTTACGACATGACCTAGATGAAAGGCAGAGAGAAAGGAGGAGAAGAGGAGGTATTGGGTCCTATTATCCTCTTCAAGCCCATGTCCTCAATGACCAGAAGATCTCCTATTTGGCACCCCCACCTTTTCCAGACTGGGGATTGCACACAGGAGCACTCTGAGCTATCACCAGCCCCTCTTTTAAAGTCTTATTTTGAGACAGGTTGTCACTCATGTGCTCAGGGGGCCTGGACCTTGAAATCATTCTGCCTCAGCCTCCTAGGTAGCTGGGATTATAGACATACAACATTGTGCTGGTTTAGGCCCCACCTCTTAAAGGTTCCACCATTTCCTACTAGTGTCAATCTAGAGACTAAGCCTTGAACACATCATGGGCCTGTAGGGACATTCCAGATCAAATTCATAGAGTGTGGTAAAATCATTTTTGATAACAATATAATTTTTACATACTAAAATATTCAGTTACAATATTCAGTTATAATTAGGCAAATGCTGTTTGCCTCTCCTGTTCCCAGGCTTGATAACTATTTTCTCTTCATAACACCATCCATTTAATTCTAGCTTGTAGTCTCAGCATCGTTTTAGCCTCTAAAGCAAATTTTAAATACAGAAGGAACAACTTAAAGAGATTTGATCCAACACTCTAGAACTTAGTATTAAGTCCTCCCCTGACCTAAAACCTTGGTTTTTATACTGAGGGCATTGGGACAACCCAATCTCCGTATTTTGTAACAATTGGAATAACTAGGGCTCCTCTTGGTGCAACGTTTGTATACCATCTACCCCTGAGGTCCTTCTATGTTCTCTCCTTAATTTTATTAAAGACTAGAAACCCTCAAGCCTCTACATGGTACCTAAGGCCCTACCAGATACTCTCACATTTTGTTAGTGTCAACTACTTAACTATTGCTCCAAATATCCCTTACTCCTGTCTCTATTCTCCACTTCAATGTACTAAGTATTTATGAAAACATTCTTTTACCCCTTGTTGGAACCACTCTTCTCCAAAGGCCTACTCTTTGTCAGCTCCTGTACTTCCTATACCTCCTGCCCAGGTCTGAATTTTCTCATGTCAACTATAAGTGAATTTGTTCTCCCCCTACTTGTGTCTTTTTGAAAACTTCAAGTGCAAGACCAACATAGCTATTCTAGTTTCTGAGAAATTTATGTCATGTTTTATATTTTGTAATGTTTATAAACTATTGTACCATTCATGCATTCTAGCCATTGTATACTCATGAGATTTGTTTTCCTATGTTCCAAAAGAGTATTTTATAATTTCATGTCAAGTTCTAATGTGCCTAATTGTACTTTTGCAAATCATGCAATGTTGTCTTTTCTTTTTCCAATTAGCTACTTACTGATATTCACCTAGTTTTAATTTGGGGGAAATTTCAGAATTGTAAATGCTAATGAGTTGAAAATTGGTTGGAATATGACAGTCCCCAAAATGTTAAAGCTAATCTGGTCTTTTCACCCATTCATTCATTCATTCATTCATTCATTCATTTAATAACTGACTTTTCTGACCACCAGTTTACCCAACTCTAAAATAGTTGTGAAGATTAATAGTAGTGCATATAAGGTGATTTAAAAAGTTAGAAACAAAAAGTAAAAATTATTTTTAAAAACTATTGCTAGCATTGCAGAGCACAGTGGCACACGCCTCTAATCCTAGTGGCTGGGGAGGCTAAGGCAGGAGGATCTCCAGTTCAAAGCAAGCCTCAGCAACTGTGAGACGCCTAAGCAACTCAGTGAGACCCTGTCTCTAAATAAAATACAAAATAAGGCTGGATATTTAGCTCAGTGGTCAAGTGCCCCTGAGTTCAATCTGTGGTATCTCCATCCTGGCAAAAAAACTATTGCTAACATAATTATCTACATTTTAATCTGGAATTCAGTACTTTGTTCTGTCTTCAGACACACTGCTCTTTGCTCTTCTACTTGTAGCTGAATTCAGTTTTCCTGATAGATACAGTCCTGATGCCTGATAAGGATGTGCAGATATTGCACTTGAGCTCCACTCTTATGTCTCTCAATTTTGTTTTGTTTTGTTTGTGGTATTTGGTAAAATATAAACAAATGTTATCTACTTTTAGCATGATATCTGTCATGTGATAGGAACCCAGTAAAAGTCTATGAATGAGAGTGTATGTTGATGTGATTTTTGGAGGACAGTTAGGCAGTTTCTTTCATAACTTTTAAGTTTGTGTATCCTGCATTCCAGAATTCACATTTCTAGAAATTTAGATATAGTTGTGTGTGTGTATGTGTGTATGTATGTATGTATGTATGTGTATGTATATATGTGTGTGTGTATACACACACACACACACACACACACACACACTATTGTGTGCAGCAGAACACCAAAACCAAAACCAAATACCCGAAAACAACCAGAGGTCCATCAATATGGTACTGGCTAAATAAATGATGGTACTTTCATTTATGTTACTTATAATCCATGAAATTCTCTACAGTCATCAAAAAATTGGATGGCTATATGTACAAATGGAGAAAAATCCATATTCTAGACACATCATAGAGAACGTATCCTATGCTGCTTTTATGTAAGTAGAGGATACACAGATATGTGAAAGTAAATATTTCTATAAGGTACAAAAAATGTACTTGTAAACACTGGGACGCATCTCGAAGAACACATCAGGAACTGGGTGCAGAGGGACCTAATTTTTTATTGCAGGTCCTGTACCATTTGAACTTGAAGTGCTCACAGAAACTCACAGACCTGTGCTACAGGCCTCCGGCCACGGAGGCGCAGTCGCTGCCAAAGTCCTGTTTGTCAATCTAGCGACTCAGCAAACCGACGTGTGACGCCATCACGACAGGCGGTGGCGCAGGCGCAGTGGCGACGCACCGGGCATTCTGTGGGTAGCTCCTGGGCGCGCTTCCGACCCAGCTTCTTGTTCCGGCACCGAGGACGCCAGACTGACGGCTTTGACCCGCTTGGCACTGGGTGGACGGCATCTCGGCCCCCAAATGAGCCAATGGCATCATGCCCGCAGTGGCTGGGGTCGGGGACGCGACTTTTCTGGTCGTCCCTCAGCAAAGAGAAAGGGCGGAAACCGCATCCCGGAAAGGTAAAACGTCCCGGGTGCTGGGGATGGCCCTTCCGGCTCTTAGCTTCTGGGCGTGGGCTCCGTGTCTTGTGGTCTGAGCCTCTCACGGTCGCTTTTGCGAGCTTGGCCCGTGTGCCAAGCTGGGATTAGAGACTTTGACCCTGGCTGCGCCACCCGTAGAAGCTGAAAGAAGCTGTAGTGGTCAGTGAATTCGCCCACCCTTTTAAAAGGGAAGGCTCTGTCCATTGCTCCTCGGGTCAACTAGTGCTTTGAGGCGGGACTTGGTGTTGGGGACACTCCTTAATCATCCAAATGGAACGCCTCCCTCAGTTCCTCAAGTTGTATTGTTTGTTGGCACAGAAAAAAATGATTAATAAGATTTAAATATGAATGAATTCCTCTGTACCTGCATGAGACCTTTCATGAAAAGGTGGTTTGCATTATTTCCAGGAATCACCGAAGGCAAACTGGTGCTTTCTAACAGGTGTCACCTCAGAGATCTTCCTGTATACATCTAAATGGTTAGTTTTGGGGACTTTGTTCGTCTGTGAAGTGAAACTGTTTAGTCCTTGAAATCTTCCTCTCCTTCGTTCCAGACTTCATTGAGTCCCTTTCATTTTATCTCCTCAGTATCCTTTGAATCTCAATTTTTCTCCTTCAGCATCCTAATGCAGGTTTTACCTGACCTTTTGCTGTTGAGTCCAGTAGTGTCCATATATCTATTCTTTAATTTCTTCCAGCCTGTTCTTCCCACAGATCTTTTAAATAGGTCATTGAAAACTTGAAATTGAGCCAGGCACAGTGGTGCATGGCTGTAATCCCAGCTTCTTGGGAGACTAAGGCAGGAAGGCAAAGTCATAAGTTCCAAGACGGGCTCAGCAATTTAGTGAGACCTTGTCTCTTAAAAAAAAAATGTGGGTATATAGCTTAGTGATCAAGTACTCCTGGGTTTAGTCTGAGCACCCAAACCGGCTTGAAATTGAAATGGAATGGGAAGGTAGTCATAGACATCAGTGTAAAGCATTATTTTAAGAATAAAAACAATCTTCTTATGTGCTCTATAAGTCCCTGTATAGTCTGGGATCCTCTCTGCTTCTCCAGCCCCATTTTTTGCCACTCTTGACTTTCTATGCTTCAGCTATATTGAATTAACCATAGTTAATTCTAACTTGTCCTACAGAGGTGAGCTCAAATATTACTTTTCAGGGTTGACCACTAGCATTTTTAAGTGAAGTTCACAGTCCCTTTCTATGTGATGAGTTTTCTCGTCAAACATAGACCTTAAATTCTTTATCAATTGAATTTGATGCTATCGGTTGTATTAAAACTAAAAAATCATGTTTAGTGAAAGAATTGAATTTAAATCATTACCCTGTGTTTATTGATAACACCTTAACATTTGGTACTGGGATTAGGTTTGTCAGGGATACAGAAATTCTGTCATCTGATTTTAGATAATCCTTATTTGTGGAGGTCTTTGTTCTGTTGCCTTGGATCTGTTTTCAAGATGGGGAAATGAGCAGAAGGAATTATGGATTGTTACCAGGCAGGGATGAATAAGTGGCAGAATGCAAAGCATAGAAAAGGGACATGCTCTGTGCACTGTGACTGGTTTTCTAGAAGCTTTAATTCTGTACAAGGAGACAAGGCTAACATACAGTTTGGCTAACAAAAAACATATCTACTAGGTGGAAAGACTATCTCCCAGTTGGACAGAGGATGCCTGGGACTCGATTCATTGCTTTCAAAGTTCCTTTGCAAAAGGTAAGCAAAAGTTAATTCAGTATTCTTTCAGAAATCTAAATTCACCACATGGAATCCTGGTTTGTTTTTTTTTCTTTTTTCAAATTAATATACAATTTTAATGTACATAGCTATATATATATATATATTTTAAGACTAGATGAAAATTTATTCAATAAAAATTGTTCATCACAAAGTTATTAAAAATACTTTCCTAGTAATGTACACATCATAAACTTAGGTTCCTCTTTGGGGGAGGGGGTTAAAAGCCCTAGTATCCTCTCCTCTTCAGGCAAGGTGTGCTCTTTTTCTCTTTGATGGCTTCCTAGACCACATCGCCTGCAGGAAATCAGGTGGTTATGGCCAGCAAAGGAGCATCATGTACTCTGCAGAGGGATGATGTCACCAAACTGTAACATTCTATGGTGAGGAGCTTCCTTGCTGAGAGATGGTCTTTTGGGAATGTAGCTACTTACAACCATGCTACATTTGGCCTTAGTAAAGTAGAGGGGACATTGGCTCTGCCATCTCCACCCATATTTTTGTGAGTTTTACACATTTGGAAATAATGAAACCATTATTTGTGACTATCTCTGGGACTTATGAGTCACAATTCATGCATCCATATGGTCCACAGTCATCCAACCAGGGCTCGGGGTTTCAGAGTAAAGTGTTTGTATTCAGGCAGCCCTGACTTCATTGTTCCTGTGTCTAGTCACTATATTAGACCACCTTCCTTAATTAGGAAAATTTTTAAAAAAAGAAAAAAAAAACAAACCTGACATTGGTGTCTTAATCTTTGCCAGATTCCTGGCACACCACATTCAAATTGTGATGTCAAACATTCTTTTTTATTTTTTTAAATTGGAAAACTAGTTTCATTTATTCATAAATTTAATAACTAATTTTGCTCTATATCTTGTTGTTTGTTGGGATTGGTGAGCTTTTTGTGTTTGTCTTGATCCCAGTGACCTTTACTCAGAATACATTTATTGAGGCCACAGTGCTATTACTGTACTAAAAGGAACCTGTGTCAACTCTATAGTGACATCTTGGATTTGCATGCTTGAACATTTTCAAAGTAAATTTTCTTCTTACCTTCAGACCCATGCCATGGAAAGATTATTCTATACATTGCTATAATTTATGAAATTACAGTGATTCATGTTGAATTTGAAGAATTCCCACATGATGCCAGCATGCACAATTTTTGCAACCTCCTACTTAGAGCCAGAGGTTCTTGGTGGCTTATCTGTTTACACCTGTGACGCTGTGTGACAGTGCTTCATACAACATTGTATTTAGAAACATGGCCAGCTATAGCAAAACTGGAAATATGGAGAAAGTTCTTCAACAATCTCTTTCCTTTGAATGTGTCTGTGTAATTCAGCCAAATACTTATTTTCCAAAATAATACTAAGAAGTAGCTTCTACTGTTTTCTACAGTGTCTTGGTAGTCATCTTTGCTACCTTCCTCCAGGAGCCAGCCTGCCTCTTCTGAGTTGAGTGATCTCGTTTTAATTTTCGCTGCTCTGCACTAAACAAGGGAATCCCTAACTGAATCTATAGAATTAAGTGTTCATGTGATAAATTCTCACTGCTGTCTGTTGAGATGTATATATGTTCTAATTAACTATCAGCCAATAGTATTGTGGCTATCTATTGAAAATTGTTTCATACCAATTTTTTAATTTGGGCTGCTATTTTTTAATAGAGACTGTATGTAAAAAAAATTTATTAGAACATTGGTTTTCAACAATATCACACTCCGCTTTCCTTTTTGTAGCAAATGCTTCTAAATTTGCAGATGAATATAATTGACTTCAAAACATACTTTTAAAGAAATCATTATAATGCAATAACTATAAATAATACTGAATTTATAATTAGGCAATATATATTTCAATATCTAAATTAATGAGCATTACCACATTAGAACATATAAAGAATGAGGTGCTTACACTACGAATGTAAGGTCCACAAATATAGACTGTGACCGAGGTGGGTTATATTTCCATGGCAGTGAACAACTCAGTAGATTTCCAAACAACATAAAATACAATCTTCACTTTGTTGATAAGGTGTCCTGAGAAATTCAATGGACATTAAAATTGTGCAAAAAATACTTTATTTGTGAATCAGAGTTAGGTTCTAAAGCTTAGGTAAATAGGAGCAGTCTTTTTAAAAAGTAATGTCAATATTGACTAGGATATTTACAAGTCATTAGGATGTGGAACATAAACACATATTTACATATTGAGTGAGCTTTTTTCTTCCTTTGGATCACTGGAAGAGAGGTTTGTAATTTAGCTTCCAGAAGAGTATAAACTCTCATTGTATCTCATAGTTTGCTTGCATGATGTGATTTGAATAAATGCATAATAGAGGATTTTGACACAAATTTACTCTCTATTTCATTTTCTCTGACAAGAGTTTTGAAGCGAAACTTGCTCCAGAAGAACGCTTTTCTCCTCTGGATCTTTTTAACAAAATCCGAGAACAAAATGAAGAGCTTGGACTGATTATTGATTTAACATATACTCAGCGCTATTATAAGTCAGAGGTAAATTGAACCTTTAACTGAAAGCAACATTCTTCATTATGATATTAAAATAATTTATAGTAATTCAGTAATAATAGTTTTCATCTTGTGCTTGTGTGAAGTGTAACCTTCTTTCATGAGTAATAATAATTTTAAAAGGAAATCAAATCTTTCTTTAAGTACATGCTTTTAATGCTGTCTCAAAATGAGATTGGAGACATGAATTGAACTATTTGGTCACCATTACTACTGTTTATATTCAAATCCTTTTCATCATCTTCAACAAAAACTCTATAACCATTAAAGAGTAATTCCCTTTTCTCCCACTCTTTCAGCCCCTGGTAACCTCTGATCTACTTTTTGTCTATATAACTTTACCTATTCTTGACACCTCATACAAATGGAATAATAATATTTGTCCTTCTTTGTCTAGCACATTTCACTAATTATGTTTTCCAGATTGATCGATTTGTAGCATGTATCAGAATCTTATTCCTTTTCATGGCTAAATATTTCATTGTGTTCATATGCTATGTTATGTTTATCCTTCATCTATCTGTAGGTACGTGGGTTATTCCTTTGGCTATAGTGAATATCACTGCTATTAACATTGGTGTAGAAATGTTTGGTTTGGGGTTGGGTTTTTTTTTGTTTTTGTTTTTTGGTACTGCGGATTGAATCTAGAGGGACTTTACCATTGAGCTTTCTCCCGAGCCCATTTTTTTTAATATATTTTTTTTTAGTTGTAGATGGACACAATATCTTTATTTTATTTATTTATTTTTGTGTGGTGCTAAGGATCAAACCCAGTGCCTCATACAGGTGAGGCCCATACTCTGCCACTGTGCCACATGCTCTGTCACTGAGCCACAATCCCAGCCCCTCTCCAGCCCTTTTAAATTTTTATTTTGAGACAGAGTTTCACTAAAGTGCTTAAGGCCTTGCTGGATTGCCAAGGGTGTCGTCAAACTTGTGATCCTCCTGCCTCAGCCTCCTGAGTTGCTGGGAGTATAGGCGTGCACCACTGTGCTGGGATAGTGAACAAATATTTGTTTGAATCTTTCCTTGCTTTCAGTTTTTTTAGATGTATAACTAGGAGTAGAATTGCTGGGTCACATGGTAGTTCTGTGTTAACCTTATGAGAAACTGCTGAACTTTTCCATTGTCATTTTCTTATTTTTAAGCTGTTATCCTAAATGTCAGAAACATGTAATACTTATAGGTGTCTGTTGTATACCCATTAATGCATTCAGCTTTAGTGTTTATCAACTAATGGCTATCTTGTTTGGTCTGTATCCCTACCTGTTTCACCCCATTCTGTATTATTTCAAAGCAAATCTCTGATGTCATAATTTTATCTCTACTTCTTTGGTATGTATATTTAAAATATAAATACTTTTAATTGTTGATATCAATTCTTTAATGTCAGATATCCCATCAGTGCTCAAACTTGGATTAGCTCCTAAATTTCATAAAATATTGTTACGTTGCAATTGGTTGTTAAGTTTTACTGCCCCCTCCCCGCATTAAAATTTATGTATTAAAGTAATTAGGTAGTATTTAATATGTAGATTTTGATAATTGCATCCTTATGAGTTGTTAAAGTTTTTTTCTAGTCCTTTTCTTTGCAGGTTGGTAGTTGGATATAGCTTGATCTGATTCAGGCTGGATTTTTCTTTTTGGCAAGACGGTTTCAGAAATGACGATGTATTTGTTCTTCTATCAGGAAATGAGACTTCAAAAAATAGAGAAATCAATAATTCTTTCTAAATTTATTAGCTGTATTTTTTTCAATTTATTTTTTATATCATTATGACCTCCATACTGTTGTTTTTCTTACTGAGGCACAAGGTGGTTGGAGCTTCTCCATTTGGCTCTTGAGACATTTTGAAACACCCTTAATAATTTTTATTCACTCTTAGTTCTGGGCTTGTCTTGTATATTTTGTGCCCCAACCTGAATGAGCCATTTTAACAAGGTACTTAGATTTCTTTTAGTTAAGAGACTACAATCTGGGCTGGGGTTGTGGCTCAGTGGCAGAGCGCTTGCCTCACACATGTGAGGTCCTGGGTTCAATCCTCAGCACCACATAAAAATAAATAAACAAAATAAAGATACTGCATCCGTGTATAACTAAAAAAGTATTTTTAAAAGGGGGGGGGGGCGACAATCTGCTAGAGGTACCAGGCTGACATTGTTCATAGGCTTTCTTTGGTCAAATTATTTGTGTTTGTGTGTTTATAATGTAAAAGCGTGGGCTCATGCTGATACTTTCCATTTCAATCCTGAGCTGTAGGCTTTTCACTTACCCTCTTCTGTCTTTTAGCTATGTCTACTTTTTCCCACCCCAAGAATACTTCTGCTTAAATCACAGCTGCTTTATGAAGGCATGGCCATTATACTGTATAATATTGGGTAGGACTGTTCATATAATACTTAGTTATCTATATGTGCATTTGTTCACATGGAATTTGCTGTGTGTATACATCCTATTGACTATCTCTCCTGAAGTTTTTGTTGTTGTTATTCTAATTAGTTATACACCTCCTATGTTGTAATGAAATATAATTACAAAGTAAAAATTTGTGAATGGAGCAGCTTGGAGAAAAACTGGCTCTTCTATCAGAATTGTTGATGTATAATAAGATTATTATAATCTCTTGGTTTATATTCCAGCTCCTCTTATCTTTAATTGTTTCCCTACAAATAAAATAATATATGTATATTTTTTCTTGGTTTTTCCTTATAGGATTTGCCAGAAACTATTCCTTACTTAAAAATTTTTACAGTTGGGCATCAAGTGCCTGATAACAACACTATTTTTAAATTCAAATGTGCTGTTAGTGGATTTTTGAAAGAAAATAAAGACAATGGTGAGTTTGGGGTGGGGGAGTTATCTGAGGTGAGAGATCTGAGAGTTACCTAAAAAAAGACAACAAAAGGCAAAGTTAGCAGTGAAACAAAACAGAGCAGGCAAATGAAATTGTATCTTTGCTATACATGTTTAAGCTATTTCTGATATTTTTCCACTTTGAGAAAAGTAACTAACTAACTAAAAGTAACTAACAAGTGTTGTACTTGTATCCAATGTCAAAAGTGGAGGCTGGATTCATATGTAGCTCAGTGGTGAAGCATTTGCCTAGCATGTGTGAGGCCCCAAAACAAATTTTATTCTTCTAGTCTGTTGGTTTTGTTTTTTTTTTTTTTTCACTTCCTTTTTCTATAACTAAATCTGTCACTGATAGGTGCTCTATTTGGACCAATGAATTTGTCTCAATACAAGTGTAGCTTTTAATACATGATCAGATCTTCTACAGTTTACATCATTGATTTACATCGTGAGGTTATTTGAAATTTCCTTGAAACAGTGAATGTTGATTTTCTAGTAGACAATTTTTTATACTATATATGTATTTTTAAAAATTCCTTTTCGGGGTAGTGGTAATATTGTGGTATCTTTAAATGTTACTCTTCAATAATTGTATAACTTTTTTTAGTGTATCTATTTTAGTTACTTAACTGTATTTCTTGTTTTATAGACAAACTTATTGGTGTCCACTGTACACATGGCTTAAACCGGACTGGTTACCTCATCTGCAGGTGAGTTGCCAACCCCAGAGGCAAACTGTGTTTAAGTTGTTTTTGTCTGATAACAATGGTAGTGTAAGTTTGTTGCAAGAAATGCAATCAGTATAAAAATGTGTAAAGTAGAAAGAAATATAGTTCCCCACCCAGAGATTACCATTATTAATAATTTAGTGTACATCTTTTTAAACTTCAAAAATGCAGATACAAGCATGTGTATATATATATATTTAGTTAGTTAGTTAGTTTATGGTATAATAGATGTTCTGTTTTATAGTTTAATATGTTGTAGAAAGTGCTTTGTGACCATATTCTTTTTAAAGGCTGCACTGTTTGTGTACTGATGAACATTAAAATAGCAAACATTCATGTATGAGCATCTTTGAATATGTTTGTCATTGTCCCAGAGATAACTGATAGGCACTCAATTATAACTGATAGGGACTAGGTTTCCATGGAGAACTTTGAGCAAATATCAGAAGTTGAATTGGTACTGACCAGTTAGGGACACTGTGGAGAGAATAGTGGACATAAGAAGCAGCAAAGACCCTGTAACAAGATGACATTAACTGTGTTGGAGGAATCAGACCATGGGGTAAGTATAGCATTAAATGGATCTGGAAGTATGGGTAGGAGCTAGATCATTCAGAGCTGGGTTTAAGGCTTTGTTTTATTTTAAGAACACAAAAAAACTATTGAACTTTTTTGTTGGGGGTGAGTGTGTAGAATATATTCAAATTTGTATTTTCAACTTTTCATTTTACTACTGAGTAAAGAATAAACTGCAGAAGAAAGGAGTCATGTTAGGAGGCTTTTGTAGGAATTAAGGCATAGTAGTAGCTTGGACTGAAGTGTGGTAGTCATTTGGTGGAAAGGTGTGGTCATATTCTAGAGATATTTAGGTTACATCATTGTCAGTACTTGGTGGTGGGATGAAGATGAGAGTAAGGAAGAAATTGCTGAGGTGATGGCATCTCCATTCTGGCCCAGACATTTGTTACAAAATATTTTTTGGATATGAGGTTAATATTTTTCCCTTTTTGTTTTTTGCTTGTTGGTTCCTGATAAATTCTTTGTCAATTTAAGGAAGTCTTCTGTTTTTAGTGTACAAAGTATTTTGATCAAAAACAACTATTTTAATTTTTCAAATACATTGTAAAACATCTGTCAGTTTGGTCCCATATTTCCTTTCCTTTATTACTTAAATTATTATTATATCAATGTAAGTATTTTTATTAATAGATCTTCTAAAGTTGGGTCATCTTGCATTCTTGGAGTAAGGTCTTTCGTGGTCATGGCATATCATTCTTAATAATTATTGTTGGATTAGATGTGCTGATATTTTCTTTAAGATTTTTATGTCTCCATTTGTAAGTGAAATTGGACCTTTTGAAAAAGAACTTTTTTTCTTTTCGTATATATAAATGACCCAAATTATGTTGTTTTGTTAGATATTTGATTGATGTAGAAGGCATGAGGCCAGATGATGCAATTGAATGTAAGTATGAGGGTTGTCACTATTTTTTCCTTTTCATAAAAGTTAAAGGTAAAAATGTAGATGAATTTCTCAAATTTTGGGAAAAATAGTTCGTAATTCATTTGTTCCAATATAACAAATTTAAAAAAGGAAAAGAAAACTAACTTTTGGGGCTGGGGGTATAGCTCAGTGGTAGAGTACCTGCTTAGAATGCTTGAAGCCCTGGGTTTGATCTCCAGCACCAAAAGAAAAAAGGAAAGAAAAACAAAACCCAAACAAGATAATTTTTTTCCGAAGTTTATAAAGGAAAATATTTGGAAGTAGTGAGATACAACAGCCTAAATAATTAGTCAATGAATTTCAGCTTTGGTTTACTTTCTCTTGGAAAGTTTTGTTGTCTCTATAATTATTTCTAACAGTTCATCCACTCCTCAGTATTCAATAGGTGCCGGGGACATTGCATAGAAAGACAAAACTACATTGAAGACCTTCAGAATGGTCCTGTCAGAAAGTAAGTCTTATATGTGAGATTTGTGGTTAGGGAGCTCTCTTTTGTGTAATTCAAACTGTATATATCCATCTTCTGGTAGCTTATTCACTTGCTGGGGGGAGCCTTATAAATAGGGATGGTCAGAGGAAGGAATTTTCATTTTTATAAGCCAAAATATTTAGTCACTTAATTTACTACCACGTTTGGAAACCAGTAATATTGTATGGAAATGCTCTCTTTGAGGAATTGGAATTCCAGTGTATCCAGGTCAAGTGATTTTGAAGACTCAGCACATCTCATGGAACCAGTCCACACCTCTAACAAGTCTGGTAACCAAGGGTCTAGGTATAACTTACATCGGACCTATGGTTATCCAATGCCTTCCCGGCGTTTTCACACCCAGTCCCCACACTTGCAGCAGCCATTCAGGTACCTCTGCTTTTCCTTTTTCTGAACCTAAAATAGAAATTAATACTATAAATCATTGAAAATATGTTTTGATAATGATGAGCAGTTGATGTTTTCTTACTGATCATTGTAAACCAGAAGGTGTCATCTTGTTCTGTATTTTGAAAAATCAGATACTAAGTAGAGAAATAGGAAACTTCAGAGGCAGTTGGAAGGGAATTTCGACATTTTCATTGATTTGTAAACTTCAGTCTGATATGTCTACCAGAAAGAATCTTGCATTCTTAGACTACATGAATTGTGGTGTGGTTTTCAGAATAAGGAAAAAGAGTAAATATAAATTAAGTGAAAATAATAAAATAGCAATAGAAACATTTGCAAAGGATTTGAACAAATAAATCACAAAAATATTTCACTTTGGAAATGGGGAAAATTTCAGTTTGATTAAAATAGTCTATTGACTTTCCAAAAAGAGAGAACCAATAGGAGATAGATAGATAGATAGATACATACATACATACATACATACATAAGCAAGTCTTTATTAGGGAAATTGGTTCATGTTATTATGGAGGCTTAGAGATCCTACAACTGGCTTCTGAAAGCTAGAGACCTAAGGATGCCAAGTGAAAAAAACATCTGAACCAGGGAACCTGGTAATTCTCAGACTTAGTCTTGACACCAAAGGCCTGAGAATCCATGGGTTTGGGACATGGGAAGGTAGGGGAAAGGGGTAACTACTCATGCAAGTCCTAGAGTCCAAGGGCTGTGACTCTTGGAGTTCTGATATCAAGAACAGGAGAAGAAGGGTATCCCAGTTCTAGGGATGAGGGCAAATTCACCTTTTCTTCTCTTTGATTGGGGTTTACCTACATTGAGGGAGGATCTCCTCACTCAGTCTACCAACTCATACACCAGCCTTTTCCAAAACACCTTCATAGACATATCTAGAAATAATGCTTTACCAGCTGTCTAGGTATTCCTTAATCAAGTTGATACCTGAAATTGACCATCAAGAAAGAGCAAAAGAGTATTTTTCTTTCACTATTTTAGCAACAGTTTTTGATGAGCAACCCCATGGTTGTCAGGCTGGTCCTGGATTTGCATCCTGGCTCTGCCATTCACCCAGTGTATGATCTTGGGTGAGATACTTAACCTCTCTTGAGTTCTCTTTATTTATCATTCAAGTGAGATTTGAATAATACATGCCCCCATAGGCATTGTCAGTGATGACTACTTGAGTTAAAACATGTAGCACATTGTAAACACTTTGAAAAAAGATGTTGGCATTTTTTTTTTTTAAAGATGTAAATGTTTTTAACAGATCTTACTAGTAACAACCCTTTTGAAACACAATTTTAATGTCTATAACAATACTCATGGTGATTCCATGTTGAGACTAAGGAAATACTTCAAAATATGGAAAAGACTATATTCTGTGATTCAACACATTTCCAAACTCCCTACTATGTCTCAGACACTGGGCTTGGTGCTCAAACTACAGTAGTATAATATTGGGGATGTTAATACAAGACATACTATAATAGTAAAGACTGGTGGTCTGAATTTCTAATAGTGGAGAATATAGCAGAATAGTTATATTCATACTATGACATTTTGTAAAACCATTGAAAATGATAGCTCACTTATGATAAGTAAAAACAATAGGTTATAATTCAACAGTCAGAAAAAAAAAGATGCAAATGGAAAAAGACCAAAAGGAAATATGAACCAGTTTAATTAGATGAAGTGGGATTAAGGGGGGTTTGTAGGTTTCATTTTTCTTTTATCAAATTTCCAAATTTTTGTAATTATATGTATTCACTGATCTTGCTTTTGAAATGATTAAATCCTAATTAACAAAATTTGCATGTACCATGGCTAGAGTAATTTTTTATACTTTCTAATTAATTTATACTTACTTATAAAGCAAAAGCACCTCCATTTCCATACTAAATAGCTTATTATTTTATATTAACCCTCCCAGGCTTTTGGAGGTAGAAAGACTCCTGGGAACCTGTCTGTGTTCCAGGGCATTGTAGGAAATTTAAATATATTGTCTTATTTTACCTTCATAATAACCTGGGAAGATACTATTAGCTCTGTTTTATAGAGAATTAGGAGACAGAATGATATAAGTAATTCATCTGCTAAGGTGAAATAGGTAGCAAACAGAAGAATCAGGGTATCTATATATTATTTCATAAAGCTTATTATATGTTTCATTAATACTAATAATGGATTATTGCTTTTTGTTTAAGAAAATTTTCACAAAATCAGAATGTTTACCAGAGAGGCCATATCCCTCCTCCTGGCCCTGCTGGAGAGGACTATTCACAAAGGAGATACTTTTGGAATGTGAAGCCAAATGGCAGTCAAGCAGTCCAGGATAAGAGGTGGTGTCCTGGCAGTTATCAGAGACTGTCCTATCCAGCCTACTGGGGATGGACCGAGTGATACAAAACCTGTCCTGGATATCTCCCTGGAGACCAGAGCTGCACTGAAGATAACTGGAGTGACTTAATAAAATCAGGTCAAATGAGGTTTTTCAGGTCAAATGAGGTTTTTGCTTGTTTTTTTTTTTTTTATTTTTTATTTTATATGTATCTATTTTATTGTTTCCTTTATATGTGTTCAAGCTTTTAAAGGAATTACATTAATATTTACCTTTTTGCTGATAAATTTACAGTAATTACAGCAATACCAAAACAAAACAAACAAAAAACAGAACAAAATCTGTCATTCCAGTCTTAAAGTTTTCTAAAGGAAGATGATATTTTAGAACTTAAGTATTAAGAACTTCTCTTGCAAGTTATTTTTTAAAATAGTATCTTTTTTCTATGTATTTTCTTCTGACTAGACTTGTAACATAAGTTTGTGTATGTACAGAAATTTTTAGTGTTTTTTGTCATGTTCTATTGACCCAGTCATAAGGGTATCTTTTTTCCATAATTCTTCAAAATTTCAATTAAAATTTACCTAGGAGAAAATTTCTTTAGAAGCTAGTCACTATCTGTAATTAATTGTGGTGTTTTTGTGATTATATATTTCTTTCTTTGGCAGTTTTTTTGTGGTATTTGACCAACTTCCTTTCACTGAATTGCCAGATATACCATCTAACCCAGAGATGGATAAAATTTGAGAGATTGGTTAGCAGTTGGGTGAGAGAAACTGATTTGATAAACCAGAATGCTGGTTAATTAAATCAAATCATTATTTACCTGATAGGGTAAATGTCATGAATAGGGTAGAACTATCCAGAAAACTTAGAAACTTTATCGATTATAAAGGTTGACTGATGAACAAATGGGGTGTGACTATAAATTGCCTGGGATATCTGGCATGTTTTGATGTTATTGCTCCTCTGCTGAACATAACCCTCTGGGATTTTTCTCCAGTTACCTATCACTGGAGTGGTGCTTTACCTCAAGAACATGAAGGTAGATCATTTGGGAGAATGTTAATTATTTTTAGTGCAGAGGGAGCCAGAAACCTTTGTTTACCCAAGCCAAGTGTCTCATCATCCTCTCAATCAATATTTGATGAATACTTGGGCAACTTGGCTTCCTTTTTTAAAGCCTCTGGTTTTGAGGATTTCTGATACTGCATATGAGGGTATTTTCTCTGTTCTCTCTTGTGTATGAACAATCTGACTTTAAGGAAGTATTCTACTTCAGCTGTTCTTGCCTGTATCTGATTGGCTCAATCAGAGTACTCTATTTGATCTAAGTAATGGCTCATAAAGTTTTTCTCTGCTCTCCACATTTAACAGAGATACAAAAGTCCTTCTTGCTACAAGCCTACTCTTATAGAATTGTTCCCCAGGATACATCCTGAAGGCTCACATTGGAAGAAATTGGAGCAAGACAACTGTAAGGCAAAGCAGAATCAGCAGGGGTAGGTATGGGAATCCAGCTAGTCTCATAGTTGTGAAAAAGGCCTTGGCAAGCAGCTTCAAAGGAAAACACTCCCAGTAGAAAGGGCCATCATATAAGCTTTGCCTCCTTCAAAAATTTTTATTTATCATCCCTTTTGTATTCTCCCTTATTTTAGCTATCAGCATGGCTTGTTTAAAAAAAAAAGCAAAACTAATTAGGATTTGATATCTCCTGTTTCATTTATTCTGTAACACATTGGTTCTGGTTTCTGCTCATACCATTGAAAGGCTTCTGGCTGAAAGGACCAGCAGCCCCCTTTTAAAAAGGGCTTTCGTAGTCTGTTCAGGCTTTTAAAATTTATGTTTTTATTTTAAAAGCACATTTTAAAACTCAGATAGCTCTACTGAGATTACCATGAAAAAGAACAGTCCTCTACCCTGCCCCAATATTCTTTTCTCAGAAGCAACCACCTTAAGTATTTTCATGTTATCATCTGGTATTTGGCTCCATTATTTAAATAATATGACTATAGCCACTTCTTGTTTTTTCAATTTATGATACTATGGTAGATGAGGAGAATGCTTTTGCAGACCTTCTACCCATTCCACACATAAAACTTGTTAAATCTGTTCTAAATTCATGTTACTAGGTAAATATTATTCCATGAGCCATAAGGTACCATAGTTACGTTTCTTATAATCCCCTTTTCCCTGTCATTTTTGCTTCATTTTTTGCCTCTTTCCCTATGGACCTATCACTAGTTCGTACCCCAAATCTCTAATAGCATTATAAAATATCTCAACATGGGTAAATTCATCAGATTCTTTTTCATTTGAAATCTTCCCTGGAGCCCTCTTGGTCTGTTTCAGGTTAGGTTCTGTGTTTGTTTTCTAGGGCTACCATAACAAAATACCACAGACTGGGTAGCTTAAATTACAGAAATGTGTTTGCTAATAGTTCTGGAAACTAGAAAAGATAAAGATGTCAGCAGGGTTGATTTCTTTGAGGCTTATCATTTTGTGGATGACTGGTTCTTCCTGTGTCTTTGCATGGTCTTTCTTTTGTGTTTGTCAGTGTCCTAATCTCTCTCTCTCTCCAGTGGTTTTTTGTTGGTTTGGTTTAGGTTTTTGGTGGTGCTAGGGATTGAATCCAGGTCCTCACTTACTAGGGAGGTGCTGTACCTCTGAGCTACATCATCAGCCCTTTCCTCTTAAAAGGATGTCAGTCATGTTGGATGAGGGCCCATCCTAGCACCTCACTTGAATTTACTTACCTGGTTAAAAGCTCTGTCTCCCAACTACAGTCACATCTCCAGATGTTGGTAGTTAGAACTTCAACATAGGAATTTGGGGGGAACACAACTCTGTCCGTAACAACTCTGTCTCTAGACCTAGGCATAGCTCCTTCCCCGGAATTCCACTTCATCTTTACCCTGTTTATTTCTTAGGCCTCTCTTGTGTCTCCTGGATCCTGTAGCTGCTGCTTTCATGGTTTCCTTCCCTATTTGGTGGATTATATCCTTCAGTAGTCAATGGGATGTAATTTTTTTTTTAATAGTATTTTTTAGTTGTAGATGGACACAATACTTTTATTTTATTTGTTTATTTTTATGTAGTGCCAGGGATATAACCCAGTGCCTCACGCATGCTAGGCAAGCACTCCACCACTGAGCCCCAACCCTGGCCCCCAGGATGTAAATTTTTTAAAATTCTTTAGTGACAAATTGATTTATTTTTTTCTTCATTAATAGTTGAATTTGCTATAAAATTGCAGGTGAGCACTTTTAAATGCATGTATACATTGTTCTGCATGTCATTGTTACTGTTGAATCCTGTAACTATTCTGATTCTAGAGCTTTTATTTTTTTTTTCTTGAAGCTTTAAGGTCTTTATTTCAGGTGTCTTAATGTATTTTAAAATGCATAATACTATATTTAGTGAGCTTTTCAATCTGGCAAGTTATGAGAAATTTTCATTTTTATGCTCTTCTGGGGGAACTAGTTGAATGTTGGATTTTCTGAAATGTACCTCTAAGTTAATTGTATATTTTTTTCTCCTATTTTCTATTTTTAAGCCCTTTGCTTTTTTAAAAAATCTGCTGTTTTCTAAACACACACTTGTGTGTATGTAATTATATATTTTTTTCGGGGTTTTTTTATATGTGTATAATTTTAAAGAGATGGGATCTTACTATGTTGCCCAGGCTGGTCCTGAATTACCAGGCTCAAGCAATCCTTTGCCTCAGCCTCCTGAGTAGCCAAGACTTTGGGCTTATTCTACTACCACCTCTAATACTTATTTCTAAGAACTAGCTCTTTTTTTTTTTTATGAATGTATTATCTTTTATCTCTTTAATGATACCTGTTTTTAAAGTTCCTTTTGATCTCCGCATCAACTTTCTTTTTTCCCTTGTTTGTGCCTCTGTTTCTCATGTTAGAGGTGTTCTTGAAATACCTGGTAACCCTATTTATTGGCCCTGTCTATATTTAAGATTGGGGCATTAAAACTGATGGAAGCTCTGTTTTCTCATAGTAATAAGGTGATTGGTCACTTTGTTTTCTGTTTACTTTCCCACTGCTGCACACATTTAGGTTTTATTTTTCTCCATTTTGATAGTATCATCTTTGAAAATTTTATTGCCATCTGTCATCTATATTCATCATCTATCCCACTTTTTTGGGAATTTTTATCTTTAAATATACCTTTACTGTTATTTGGTGGGGTTTGAGTAGGGGCTAGAGATAGCTATGAGACCCAGCATAATGAGAATTTAATTGCCAAATAAATTGCTGTAAGGGTTTATCCTCAGTTTGGTAAGCTTGAGTTTTTAAAAAAATTTAGTGCATTGTGTCCCAGGAGTGCAGGCCATTGAGTTATGATTTGGAGCCACAAACATTCCTACTATGGAAGGAGGCCCCATCTAGGATCCTGTCTAAACCTTCTTTCCAGTGAAATTGCAATAACTGTCCCAGAATTATGTCCTGAAAATAGTTCAGTCATGTTATTCTCCTCTTGGAAATCTTGAATGGCTTATGGGCTTCAGATTCCATTTTTAGCTCCTTGTCAAGGCTTTCTTTATCTGACTGCAAGCTGACTTCTCAAAGCCTTTTACTATGTTCCACTCCATGTCTGTGTGCCAGCCATTTCATGGTACATTGCGCCATATACATTTATGCCACCATGTGCTTATTCTTCCAGGTTGTTCCCTTGGCTGTAGTCTCTCCCCTGTGGTTGCTGTGAGCCAGTCCTTCTCATTGTATAAGCTACATCTCTATAAAGTCTTTTCTCCCATCCCTGCCCACTAAGGGAAAGATCCCTTTTTCAACAACTTACCTTGTCATTTTATTTATGTCTTGTGCTATATGAAATACAGGTTCTAGGGCACCATCTCAGGCTTCCTCAACCCCTTCCTTCTCTGAAAGCACCGTCTGCCTCTGGGTCCACATTCCCCTTTTTTAAAAACCTTTGATACCAAATCTTATTGAGATCCCCAAGTTAACTAGAATCCAAGTTAGCTCTGGGCCTGCAAGGTCCTTCCAGCCCTGCACCTTGTATACTCTCTTCACAGATATGGCCCTACTTTAGAGGAAATGCTATACAATAGCTTTCTGGGCTGCCACTGAAGGGTGAGGTAATGATCCAGAAGTGTGGAGGAGTCTGCTCCCTCTAGGGGTTCTTGATGAATGAAGTGTTGAGGACCAGAGGGAGCCTGCCCCTTCTTTTCCCTGCTGAACACTACTCTCAACCATGTTTCTGAGCCTTCCAGAGAAGGTCCGGCTTACTGAGTGAATACACATGCCAGACATCCTGCACGTCTTTCTGGCTCATTGTAAAGCAACGTTGCATCACATTGCTTAGCATTGCTTCTTGCTTCGCTTACCCTTTTCTTCACCCTTACCACTCTGTTTTTAAATACTGCAAATAAAATACCAGTGATTTAATCCTTGCCTCAGACTCTGCTTTCTAGAGGATCTCAGATAGTTGTTTAAATATCAACCACACACATATAAAAGTGGGAAGTGCCTGATACCTCCCACTAATTTAACATTGAATTCTACAAATACTTACACCTTTTTTAAGAACAGAGAGAGATGCCAGTTACATCTACGATAACAGTATACAGGAATTAAATTCATTTGGGGGTTTTAGTCACATGATACAGGATTAGTTTTTGGAATTTGGGTATTTCATGTGACCCATTTGTTCAGAGAACACTTCAAGATTTAGATGCTTTTTGTTTGCTTGCTTGCTTTTTTGAGATAAGATCTCAGTAAGTTATCCAGATTGGCCTCAAACTCTCAATTCTGCCTAAGTGTCTTAAGTATCTGGAATTATAGGTACACACCCCAGCCCCAGCTTAGTTTTTTTGTGGTTGCAGGGGTTGGAGGAGGAGAGAATGGGGAGTTAATTGTTTAATAGATACAGTTTCAGTTATACAAGAAAAAGTATGAAGAGAGATTATGGTAATGTTTGTACAACATTATGAATTTATTTAATTTATTTAATACCGCTGAACTCTACACTTAAAAAATAGTTAAGATGGAAAATTTTGTGTTTTACCACAATTAAAAAAAATATGGAAAATTGATGTAAATCTGCAGGTAACTAAAAATAGATATAGATTACATCAAAATTTAAAATTTTGATGCCACAAATGACATGACTAAGAAAGTAAAAAGCTAGGCACAGTGGCACACACCTGTAATTTCTAGTGATACAAGAGGCTAAGGCAGGAAGATCACAAGTTCAAGGCCAACCTAAGCAACTCAGTGAGATCCTGTCTCAAAATAGAAAATAAAAAGGGCTGAGGATGTGACTAATGTTTAAGTGCCCCTGGGTTCAATTCTGGTGCCAAAAAAAAAGTAAAAAGACAAACCACATCATGGGAAAAACATTTTGTAAATCATATCTGATAAGGGACTTATATCTAGAACATAAAGAATTTCTACAACCCAATATTAAAAAGACAATATAAAAATGAATAAAGGATTAGAATAGATGCTTCTCTATAAAGAAAATGTACAGATAGCTAAAAAAAATGAAGAAATACTGAGCATCGTTAGTCATTAGGGAAACAATCACAAAATAGCACTCCACTCCTACTAGCATGGTGTCATATTAAAAAGGACAATAGCAGGTATTCAAGCTTATGAAGAGTTCAACATAAGAAAAATATGAGTGCACACAGGAGAGAGTGCGTAGACAAATGAATCTCAATTGTGTTCTGGGGTGTAAGATGGTCTGCAGTGAGGCCATATGCTATAGGCGGGGAGCTGGAAGATTTCCCCTGAAGTTGGACTGGGGGCACGGATAGAGAAGTGAGGAAATCGATGGGTTCTTTAATCTTACCAAATCTGGAAGTGAAGGAGATTCCTGGCCTGTCTGCCTTTCCCAAAGGAATGAATGATCCCCAGTCAGTCCTTTGCCGGGCTGTGTTCAAACTTCCAGGTGACTCCAAGGCACCCAAGGTTGGTTTGGGTGGGTATTTAGCCCCTTCCATAGTCTACATCAGCCCCCCACTCATCCTTTCAGCCATTCCAAATACACAGTTTATGCCTTGAACAGTTCAAGAGAAAACTCCTAGTGTGTACCCATCCCCAAAATTGGTTGAGAACCCTTGTAAAGAAATTCTAGCACTGACACTCTGGGGAAACTGGGATCTTTTGGCAAGTTGTCTTCCCGGGTCAAGAGAAAGCAAGTCATAAAAAGGGCAGCTCTCACCCACAAACCAGGTTCAACAGGTAAAACCAGAGGTGGGAAGTGGTCCAGATGAGGAGCCAGAAAAGGAAGAGCCAGGTTCTGATTTTAGTTTGGCCCCTTAGCAAGTTAGTCCTCTCTGGGGTATCAATTTCCTCTTCTAGAAAATGGGGACAGCTGGGTGCTTTGTAGAGAATCGCTTGAGCTAAGGCAAGTGGAGGGGCCCAGCACAGTGCTAGACAGCAGTGGCCACTGTGGATGCAACCCCCAACATGTTAGGTCTCAGTGCCTTCCTTGATGCCTGGATCCATGTGGCATATCATTCAGGATCCAGAGCTTGCTGGGCCTGGGTGCTGAGCAGGAGTGGTGACCCACAGACACCAGCTTGGATTCATTTTAACACATGGTAAAAGTTACAAATATTTATGCAAGTACTTATGTAAATATTAGAGAACAAGGCTGATATTCTTATGGAAGTTCTCATTTAATAAATTAGATCTTTTGAACCAACTTGCAAATGATGCATAATGATATCTCTTTCCTGTAGCTTAGGCAAAGGGATCATGAAATGACTAAAAAACAACAACAACAAAAAAAAAAAACACACACACACAGTAAGATTCATCCCTTTTCAGTATATAGTTCTATGAATTTTTAAAAAATGTTTTTTAGTTGTAGTTGGACACAATTCCTTTATTTTTATTTGTTTTTATTTTTATGTGGTGCTTAGGATCAAACTCAGCACCTCACACGTGCTAGGTGAGCGCTCTACCACTGAGCCACAACCTCAGCCCCATATAGTTCTATGAATTTTGAAAACTACATACCAGTTTGTAACCACCACTACAATCAAAATTAGAACAATTCCACTACTCCCTCAAAATTCCTTCACACCACTTTGCAGCAGTTGGCAATTGCTGATCTGTTTTCTGTCCCTATAGTTTTACCTTTTCTAGAATGTCATCTAGATGGAATATAGAGTAAGTAGCCTTTAGTATGGGGCTTCTTTTACTTAGCATTACTGCTTTTGAGATTCATCCATGTCATTGTATGGACATTGTATGTTCACTCCCTTTTCGTGGCCGAGTTAATATTCCATTGTATAGATGTGCCACAATTTAAAAAAAAAAAATTTAGTTGTAGATGGACACAATGCCTTTATTTATTTATTTTGATGTGGTGCTGGGGATCGAACCCAGTGCCACGCGTGCCAGGCTAGCACTCTACTACTGAGTCACAACCCCAGCCCAATATGCCACAATTTTTTTATCCATTTGCCAGTTGAAGGATATTTGGATTGTTTACAGTTTTTGAATTTTGAACAAAGGTTCCATTAACATTTTTTGCATATGTTTTTATATGAATATCTTTATTTCTCTTGGAGTGAGACAGCTGTTGTGGAATAAGGGAATATTTATAAGAAACTACCAAACTTTTCCTAAGTGGCTGCATTATTTTGTATCCCCATAAACAAGGTTTGAGAGTTAAAATTTCTCACATCCTCATCAGTCCTTAGTGCTATTCCAATAAAAAGATGTAGTATAGGCTCCTTTAAAAAAACAGCTTTAGAGATAAAATTAATACGCTGTACATTTTTAATAGTTGATTCCTTTTATTGCTAACTTGTATTCCATTGTATGGATATATGACAACTTGTATCCATTCACTTGATGAACATGTGAATTATTTCCAGCCATTGATGGCTATAAACTAGATGCTATGAACTATGAAATTCCAGCATTTAATTTTTTTATTTTTTAAATTCTTTTTAGATATACATGACAGAATATATTTTGACATATTATACATACATGGAGTATATGTATGTATAAAATCATTCTTGTGGTTTATATGATGTGGAGTTACACTGGTTGTGTATTCATATATGAACACAGGAAAGTTATGTCTGATTCATTCTACTGTCTTTCTTATTCCTAAACTGAGACTTTAAAAATACATTTTAAATCAATTTTATTTTACAATTTCTAGCCTATAAAATGTACTCTTTTTAAAAATATATTTTTAGATGGACCTTTATTTTATTCATTTATGTATATGTGGTGCTGAGAATTGAACCCAGTGCCTCACACATGCTAGGCAAGTGCTCTACCACTCAGCCACAACCTCAGCCCCTTAAATGTACTCTTTGCATAATTTGATGAATTTTTATAAAACTCATATGCCCTTATAACACCACATCAAGACACAGCACATTGGCTTCAGCCTAAAGATTCCTCTAAAGGGAGAATCTCCCATTCCCTCATCCCAAAAACCATTAACTTGCTTTCAGTAACTCTAGGATAAATTTGTAATTCCTAGAGTTTTATAGAAATGGGATTCTATACTAATTTTAGTTTCTCACCATTTTTGCTCAGCATGTTTTTTTTTTAACATTCATCCATATTGGAAGTATCTGTAGTTTATTCCTTTTTTATTACCAGTATTTTATTGTATGGATTTTTCACAATTTGTCCACCAATGTGTTTTTGGGCATTTATTGTTACCAGTTTATGGCTACTACAGCAATGTTGATATGAACATTCATGTACAACTAACAGGACAGTCTTCTAGATGGTCTGGGACCAAGGTAGTTTTCTACCCTTTCTCATTTCTGTTCTCAATAACTAGAATCCCAGTGACTCTGGAAGCTGAGGCAGGAAGATTGCAAGTTTGAGGTCAGACACAGCAACTTAGTGAGACTGTCTCAAAATATAAAATTATAAGAACTGGGGATGTGGCTTAGTAGTAAAGGACCCCTGGAGTCAATCCCCAGTACTGGAAATAAGAAAAGAAAGAGAGACAGAATGCAGCATCTTGTGACTAGCCAGATTAGAATGATTAGCCAGAACTGCCCAGGCTTTGTTCCAGTCCCCCTGATTACAAAATGTCCTTCAATGCTTTAGACCAGTGTGTCATGTTGCCCCTTCCCTGGTGCCAGGAGTCAGGGTACAAGACCCAGGGCAGGCTGCTTTGAGGGAGTCTCTCAGCTATGGTGGAAGTAAGGTATGTGCAGACAAGATTCTATTTGCCCTGGCAGCTTTCTGAGTCTTGGGAGACCAGCTCAGGTTGAATCCCAGGCTTCTGTGCTACCTGCCTAGTTATTTTGTATGGGGACATTCTGTCCCACTGGACTTTTTGGTAACCAATGTAGAGTTGATAGGGGACAGATAGATGAGCATTGTGAGAACATGAATAATTTTACAAAATAATTCTATAAAATGCATCCACTATACTGACCCCCCATGGGCTCTCTTTGCCAAAAAGCAATTCACCTGCAGTCCTGCCGGGCCTAAGTGGACAGGATATTGTCACATTCCTTAGCAAACTGAACAAAGGCCAGGCAGTCAGTGTAGGTAATGAATGATGAGGGTCCAAAGAATGACAACTGGTTATCAAAGAGCAATCAACTTCTGCCTCTGCACTCCTGCTCCCCGTCACTTACAAGGGGAAGGAAGAAGACAATGATTAAAGGGGGCGGGGGGGGGGGGGGGGGGGTTCTGGGGTCGATAAGAAAGCAAATTGTAAAAAAAAAAAGAAAGAAAGTTGTATCCCCTCCCACAGGCAAGGTCACCCCCTCTTGGCAGGGAATCTATCCTCTATCACTTTCTTAAATAAAAATTGCTTGCTATGTTTGCCTTGGTATTTCTTGGGTGTTTATTCTTCAACACAGGGGAACAAGAACCCATTCTGGATCCATCTCTAATAGACCGTATCACAGTGAAACTGCTTTCAAAACCAGCCTTTGCATGGATGTATTTTCATTTCTCTTAGGTAAACACCACAGAATAGAAATGTTGGTTATGCTAAGTTACATTTAACTTTTTTAAAGAAATTGAAATTTTCTCAAAATAGTTAACATCATTTTACATTCAGAACAGCAACATATTCTAGTTCTACATCTATGACAACACTTGGTAATATTCACCGTGTGTCTGTGTGATAGTATCTTTTTTTTCCTTTTTATTGGTGCATTATAATTATACATAACAGTGGGATTTGTTATAATATATTCATACACGCACACAATAAAACAGTATAGCTTGATTAATTTAATTCCCCCACTACCTATCCTTTCCCTCGCCTCCCGCTCCTGATCTCCTCTTGTATTCTACTGGTCTCCTTCCTATTTTTTTCTTTTAATTTGTTCTAATTAGTTACACATGGCAGTAGTTTTTAATTTGTAGTTCACTGTGTTTTTAATTTGTATTTCTCCAAGGACAAATGATGCTGGGAATCTTTTCATGTTTTTTGGCATTTTGTCCATTAAGTTATTTTTCTTATTGTTTTTTACATAATTTGGATGCCAATCTTGTCAGAATGAATTTAAAACGAAAACAGCACACACGTTTAAGACAAAACCGATACTCAACACCAGACCTAAGCTTCCGCCTCCGCCCAAAAAAGACGGAGTACCACCCGTCCTCGCTGGTGTCGGCTAAAAGGATTCAGACTTGGGAGGCGGAGTCAGTGGCGGAACTAACAAGGCGATGACCTTGGGGATCCGGAAAGACTTGGCGCCCCCAGGCTGACCTACCAGGAAACTGGCTCGGCGAGGGCCGGGATTGGGAGCACTTCCGGAAGTTGAGGGCTTTGTTTCCGACGGGGAGATCTTTCCAGTCGGACCAGGACCAGTTGGTGAGTTTTGCTCGGTAGCGAGGGCGCCGGGTTGTTGGGGCTCGATCCCCGGCATAGCTGTTAACGATTGTCTTGAGACGATACTTGTGGTTCCCTCAGCCGATATTTAGTGCGAAACTACCAAAGTCAGCCCCTGGGAATGCAGCAGGAAAATGAGAGCCTTTCCCTCAAGAAATAAACTGATAGGGGAGCCGTAAATTGTTAGGCAACCAGCTAGTTCGGAGGCCGAGGCAGGACCCCGTCTCAAAAACGCCGTCACTGCCGGGCGCACTTGCACTTCGTAATAAGAAGGAGCGCGTGTGATACCTAGACCCGGAGCTCTTGGCCCTCAAGCAGATGGACGGAGGAAAGGAAAAGGATTGAGGGGAAAAAAATGGTGAAGGAAGAGAGGGAAACTGTTTAAAAGCTTGGTGACAGTCCGGAAGCTGAGAAGAGGCCATTGTGGCGGTAGCAGAAGGTGGGAAGGAAACCGTGACATAAAGTTTGGGCATTAGCATATCACCTGGGCACCATAACGACAGGATATTTTGAAAGGATCACTATGACTGGGAGTGGGGGTGAAGTTTGAATTATGGAAGTGCAGGGATTTTGATGAGACCACCCTTAGGGGCTACTGGTGTAGATAAGAGGTGGTGGCAATGGGAATTCAAGAGAAATAGACGGGTCAAAATTACGTTTAGGAGGTAAAATTTAAGGATTTTAAGGATTGGGTGCGGAATTTGAGTGAGAGGTATTTACCCCAGTCTGTATTCTGTTGCTAGTAACATAGTGCATCAGATGGAGTAAGTTATAAAGAGAAGTGGTTTATTTTGGTTAACGATTCTGGTCCAAGGTCCAGGGTCTGCATTTGATGATGGTCTTGCTGATAAAAGTGTCACCTGGCAAGGAAGGGAGCACTTGAGGAGACTTAACCTAATTGGCTTTGAGATAAAACACCTGAGTGGGATAATCCATTTATGAGGGTAAAGTTCTAATCACCTACTCAAGGTCCCACCTGGTCCCTCCCCTTTAAAAATGGAAATTAAATTTCAACATGAGTTTCAGAGGGAACAAACCATTCTAGTTTCCAAGTATAATTCTAAAGTTTCTGGACTAAGTAAGTGAACAAGAACAAATGATTTTGGGGTTTTCTTTTTTCCCCCAGTACTAAAGATTGATCCTGAGGGCTCTTTCCACTGAGCTACATCCCCCAGTCCTTTTTTGTTTGTTTTGTTTTGAGACACTCTCACTAAGTTGCTGATGCTGAACTTGAATTTGTGATCCTCCTGCCTCAGCCTCGGAAATAGGCATGTGCCACCACTCCACTATTTTGAGGGTTTTCAGGGGTTCTTTTACCCCTAGTATTAAAAATATTTAAAAATATATGTATTTTCTCCCTGATTATAAGTACTCGTGTGCTTACTGTAGAAAATTCAGAACATACACAACCAATTTTGTTTTCCAGAGAACAGAAAAATCACCTAATAATCTCAGTACCTAAGATGGTTGTATTTTCCTGACTCATTGGTACATACATGCCTGGGATCCCAGCTTTGCTGGAGACTGAGGTGAGAGGATCACAAATTTGAGAGCAGCCTCAGCAATTTAGCCAGACGCTGTCTCAAGTCCCTAGGTTCAAGGTTCAATCCCCAGGACTGCAGGGGGGGAAAAAAACTGTCTTTGGTATGTCTCCTTCATGTTTTTTCTTCTTATTTGGTGGGGGATACTGTGTATCTTCTTATAATTGGGATCATACCGATTATTTTTTTGTTATCCATTTTTTTTTAGTAGACATTAGCATGACTAAATTGAAATTCTGTATGCCAGGACATTATTTACAAATATTCTTTTTTTTCTTTGTAATAACAATAAAAATCAGATGTAATTCAGCAATCAGAGATAACTTTTTAAACTTTTTGGTGTGTTTTCTTTATGTGTAGATTTTTAAAGGTGTTTTGTTTTTCCATTAAGGTGTTTTTACTTAATATTTTTGTTGTTTGCATACATCATCAAGATTGTAGTGGATTTTTTTGTTGTTGTTTTGTTTTGTGGTGCTGGGGATCAAACCCAAGGCATTGTGCATGCAAGGCAAGCACTCTACCAACTGAGCTATCTCCCCAGTCCAAGATTGTAGTTTTTAATTGTCGTTTACTTACAGTCAATCCTGCTATTTGCTAAATAGATTGTTTTCAACTTTTCACTGTTAAAATAAGAGTGATATCTTACTATATAATCCTCAAATGTCCAATTAATTTATTGAGAAAGAGCCCTAGAAATGGAGTCTCCTGAGCAAAAGGATGAAATAAGCCTAGTAAATTGCTTCACCAGACTATCATTAAAATTTTCCCTTCAAGGATGTAGTTACAAAGATTTTTCTAGTTACTTAAGTTGTCTTTTATGCTTCTTATTCATTTATTTATTTCATGGTACTGGAGCTCAAACCCTGGGCCTGTGCATGTTAGGCAAGTGTTCTACCCCTGAGCACATCCCTAGCTCCTACACTTTTATGTCTTTATATATACCCTGTCCTTTCCTGTTAACCTTATGACTAAAAAAGGGACGAATATTATTGATTATTAATCATACCCTCTCTGCTAATTTCCATGTATGAAAATTCATAGCTTGGGTCAAATGTGATACTTTATTCCTTATTAATATTTGTGTCCAGGTCCTGCTAAAATACAAATAAAATAGATCAGAAAGTTTAAAAAGTGGAAGTAGAATAAAGTTTCATTAATACCATTAGTATCCTGAGGTCCAGAAGTTCCTGGTATTCTGCCCCTAGTCTGCTAGGAAACAGCCTCTTAATCACATGTGCAAGCCTTTCATCCGGACAGGCAGAGAACCAACTAGCTCCCTTGGCTTTTTCTCAGGAGTGGAAAAAAGACTAGAAACAGCTCAGCAGGGTTAGAAAGCCATCTCACAAGGATGCCAAATGTGCTTTGGAGACAGATTTAACAGTTTTTATCATCTTATTATTTTTATTTTTGGTATTGGTATTGAACCCAGGGGTACTTTACCACTAAGCAACATCCTTAGTCCTTTTTATTTTTTATGTTGAGACAGGAGCTTGCTAAATCACTGAGGCTAGCCTTGAACTTGTGATCCTCCTGCCTCAGCTTCCAGAGTCACTGGGATTACAGGCACCACTGCACTCAGCTCTGTCATCTTTTAAAATTAATTTCATTTGTTAGCAAGGATATTTGTTAAGAAATGAGTTTTAATGTTACCTTTTAATAAAAGAAATCTATTGGTCCTTTAGGTTTTGTGCATACAATCCTGTTTGAAATGCAGTTAACATATCAGCTGGACCTATTTCCTGAATGCAGAGTGACTCTTCTGTTATTTAAAGATGTAAAAAATGCTGGAGACTTGAGAAAAAAGGCCATGGAAGGCACCATTGATGGTGCATTGATAAATCCTTCAGTGGTAAGTACAAAGTGTGAGAATGAGTGAAGGCATACCCAACATTTAAGAATGTGTTAATTTTTTGACAATGTTATAGGTTAAAACTAAAATTCTTTCATCTTTATGTACAAAGTCTTGTCCAAGTAAGACTTGACTACCTTGAATTGAACAGTGAATGAAGACAGAAACACTGGGCCCTGCCCTAGGAAATAGGAAAGGTTGTGGTCCAGCTCTGATCACATTTGTGGTCTGGCAAATATTGGTTCCCAGCTTCTCATCTATGAGATGAGGGTTCTGAAGAAGGCAGTATCTATGGAGGAGGAATAGCACAGTAGTTAAGAGCATGCACTGGGATCACATTACCAAGACTTAATCCGAGCTCTGCCACTTACTATGACTTTGAGCAAGTCATAGCCAAACCTTACATAGTGCTTACTCTTTTCCTAGCATAATTCCTAAATGCTTTCTGACTCACTTAATCTTCAACAACCATATGAAGTGAGTTCTGTTATTTTCTGCTTCTGACAGATAAAACACTAAAGAACTTGCCTAACTAAGTTCCCCAAATGGTAAGTGACAGAGCTGAGATTCAACCCAGGCATTTTTTGCCCTCATTACCTCATCTATTATATAATGATTTCATTGAATATTTTGAGGATTAAAGAAAATAATAGAGCTAAAATGTTTAGAATACAGCCTTTCTCATAGTAGCCTGCAATACATGTTACTTTAAAAAAGTTTACTCTTTGTCTAAGTTTCTTACAACTTTAAAATTATAAGATTTTTTTGACTGCCTTGACCCTTGAGATAATAATTTTGAAAATATAATCCATATAATCCATAGGAATTGTTTTAAGAATTTATCTTATGAAGTAAAAATAAGATAAAGCACCTGTTTTCATAGTGTTCTAGATTCTCCCATGTAATTCTTGATATTCTTTTGGTAGATTGTTGATCCTTTTCAGATACTTGTGGCAGCAAATAAAGCAGTTCACCTCTACAAACTGGGAAAAATGAAGACGAGAACTCTGTCTACTGAAATTATTTTCAACCTTTCCCCAAACAACAATGTACGTGGAATTTACTGACTTCCTGTTGACACGTGTTGGGTCAGAGGCTAAATTCCTACAAACCAGTTTGCTACCAATAAACAAAAGTAATCATGAAGAGAGTTCTGGAGAGTTGAGATTTAGCACTGCCTCTTACTAGACAAATAAGCTCTGAAGTCAGTTTCTTTATGAGTAAAAAAAAAAAAAATTAGCTAAATTAAGTGAGGCTAGTTTTATCTTTCCTTCTTAACCATGTAGGGTCAGGAAAATCCCTTAAGTAGTTTGCTTAAGAAACTGACAGAAATACACATGATAAAACATTAGGCATAAATATTTTGTGTGTTCATGTACATCTTTCACTTTGTAAACTCCTTGAGGATAAATGCATATATTTTTTATATATAGCACCAGGGCATTGCTGGTACCTAGAACAGCCCTTAATACATGTACATAGCCCATGAAAAAAATGACTGGAATTTTGCTGATGAAATTTTAATATTACTACTATTGTTAACAACACAATTAGGTACTAGTATCATCAAGAGAATAATTGGGAAGGCTGTGGCATGGTTTAAAATAGACAATTTCAAACTTTATAAAATGCAGTTGTCTCATCCTAGTACTAGTACCTGGAAATTTTTTTGCCAGGTAATCATTGTTTCTTAGAGAGTATTTGAAACAGTTCAAGATACCATTCCTGTTCCAGTTATAGTTCTAGGGGCAAAAGAAGCAAATATGTTCCTGAAGAGAGGCAGGCGAGACAGAAGTTAAGAAGTTAAGTGGGGGGTGGCCTTGGAGCTGGACCCTGAAGCATGTGTTGATCAGACTAGCCATAGAGAGAAAGGTGATTGGACAAGGGACAAAGCATGTGCATCAGCAAAACAGTGAAACACAAACAGCTCCAGGGTGGCCAGAAGACAGGAATGTGTGGCTGCAGGGTCACTTAAGGCTGGAGGAATGGTGTTTGCATAACACAGTCTGGGCTGATTCCATGAGAACAAGGTGCAACTTTCAGCAGAAAGCTGACAGGTAGTAGCTGTAGATGCTAGAGAAGGATTATTGAAGGGAAAACTAGGATATGAAAAACAGGTAGAAGCTCACTGAGAAGAAGGCAGGTCAGATGTTTCAGGTATAGGAAAGACTGATTCCATTCCTGTTTTGTTTTTTTGTTCCTTAGATTTCAGAGGCTTTGAAAAAATTTGGTATCTCAGCAGATAATACTTCAATTTTAATTGTTTACGTTGAAGAGGGAGAAAAACAAGTAAATCAAAAATACCTAATATCTCAAGTAGAAGGTGACCAGATTTCTCTGAAAAATCTTCCTGAAATAACGAATATTTCTGAAGTCAAAAAGGTTTGTAAATCCATATTTTTAGAGTGTGGTAAGTGAGGAATAATGCTGATGTGGTTTATTAATCACTAGTGCACCAGTTTTTGTTTTTGTTTTTGTTTTTTTTTAATTAGAGAAATGCTGCACTTGGGATTTAGGCCCGAGGTGTAGCACTTGCCTAGTGCATGTGTAGCCCTGGGTTCAATCCCCAGTGCCACAAAAAGAAAAGGAGAGGAAATGGTAATGAGTGTTTTTTAAAGTTGCTTGAAAAATAATTAAAGATAAAAAGAACTGGGAGGTATAGGTGTATGTAAAAATATAATTAGAAATGTAGTTAATGAAATCATTTACAACTTCAAATAAGTAAGTAGATATCTTTAAGTATCAAGTTTATATAGTACATTTAGAATAAAATAAACATAATAAAGTTAATATCTCGATGTGTGCTTTTAAAAATGATAAATTTAGTTTATGTGCAGAGAATTTGGTTTTTAATGTTCATAATTGCACTTTAAAGGGACTATTTGATATGAATTATGATCTACTTTGAATATTTTAATCATTTGTTTTGCAATTCAGACCATTAACCCATTAATTGATAATTTCACTTATAAATATTTGCATAACAATCCATGCATAAATAGATCAGCAAGTCATAATTTGTCTTTGATTTTTTACAGATATATAAAGTGTCTTCACAAGAAGAAAAGATTGGGACATTATTGGGTGGTATCATTAGTAGAATGTCAACAAAAGATGTTTTATAAAATGTTAGAAATATTAACAGAAATTTTCAGCTTTAAATAAAACATTGGTTTTTCTTTCCTGATTATAAAATTAAAATATGTTTATAATAGAAAAAAATTTTTTTTGATCCTAGGACCTTGTGCATGCTAGGTAAGTGCTCCACCACTGAGCTTCCTTCTAGCCCTATAATTTTTTTTTTTTTAAATCACAGAATGAGATTTTAAAAAACCCTCATAATCCTATCATTTTTACTAATACTGTTACTATTCTTGTTGTCTTCTAGTCTTCTATTTGTATTCAAACATTTTATTTTTTATATAATGGAAATAAAAATTGCCAACACTTATTGAATGTCTACTGTGTACTAGGTTTTACCTTAGTATTTTATTTCTGGGTTCTTTTGAGTTTTTTTTTTTTTTTTTTTTTTTTTGGTACCTAGCCCTTTTTATTTTGAGACAGCATCTCGCTATGTTGCTGAGGCTGGCTTTGAATTTGTGATCTTCTTGCCTCAACCTCCCAAGTTGCTGGGATTACAAGTGTGCACCACTACAGCCGGTAAGGTAGAAATCAAATTATGTGCATAGGTAGCATTTCCTTCATGCCTACTGTACTCCAGATTCTGTACTTTCTGTGCACTATTTCGTTCAGTCTAATCCACAGCATCAAGATTTTTATAAGTGAGGAAATAGACTTATGTCTCTCAGTTGTTTATTTCAAAACAAATTTTCTGAGGCTGGGATTGTAGCTCAGGGTAGAGCTCTTGCCTCACATGTGTGAAGCATTGGGTTCAATCCTCACCATCATATAAAAATAAATAAATAAAGGCATGGTGTCCATCTACAACTAAAAAAATTAGATTAAATAAATAAAGCCTGGTATGTAATTTAAAAAAACAAAATTTTTCCAACCTATAGAATAATTGAAAATAGGACAGTGAACATCTGTGTACCATTCACATGGATTCACCATTAATATTTGCTACATTTGCTTGTTCTTGCTCCTGTTTATCTTCCTATGTGCACACACACTCACACTTTGTTTTGCTAAGCTATTTGAAAGTAAGTTGCTGACATCATGGAATTTCACTCTATACTGTCTAATTGTCATGTCTCTTAAGTTTTCTTTAATCTGGAACAATCTTTTTTTTTTTTAAAACAAAGTAGGCATTTGAAAACTGTACTAGATGTCTTGCCAGGTGTGGTGGCGCACGCCTGTAATCCCAGCATCTCAGGAGGCTGAGGCAGGAGGGTTGCAAGTTCAAAGCCAGCCCCAGCAACAGCGAGGAACTAAGCATCTCAGTGAGACCCTGTCTCTAAATAAAATACAAAATAGGGCTGGGGATGTGGCTCTATGGTTGACTGCCCCTGAGTTCAATCCTGGTACCCGAAAAAAAAGAAGTGACACATGTACTAGATGTCTTTCAGGATTCCATGCAATTGATTTATTCATGATTAAAGTCAGTTGAAATATTTTAGGAATTAATAGTATATAAATGATGATTGTGTCCTTCCATTTGCATCTCATCAGAGGCACATAAAGTCAGTTGGTCCCTCTGTGAGTGAGGCTAAGTTTGATCACTTGGTTAAGGTGATCTCTCCATTTTTAGGGCATCTTTTCCCCTGAAGCTGCCCCAAATCTCAAAGTACTATAAGGGTCAGGATTAAAACTTGAATCTAGGTGACCTCACATCCTGAGTTCTGAATCTATCTCACTGCCTCTTTCCAGGCTGATACTCCCATTCTTTTAATTTGATGGGTAACATTCTGCATGTGCAGTCATTCTCCCAGTACAAATTTATATCATTTTAAATTTTTACTTACTTTTGCAAACAAATCTTTGTACATGTTTCCCGAAGTGGAATTATTGGGGAAGAGGGTATAAATCTCTTAATGACTATTAATTTAATACCAGAACAGTGTCATTTTGCACCTCAAATAGCAGTGTCCAAGCATGCCTGTCTCAGCAATCTTGCAAGGGATGTCTTTTAACTTCTAAACATGTTTTTCATTTTGGAGTGTTGTACTACTGGTAAAGTTGAGCTCATGTGTTTATTAATTTGCATATTATGAAGATGGTTTGTAAAGGTTTTATATCTGTAACTATAGATAATGTTTTCAACTCCTTGTGAATCTTTGGATCAAGGAAAAACAAAGTAATGTTTCCTGGGAAAGAAGTTAACCTCCCCAAATTTCTTAGAATAGTATTCAATCAATTTAGGCAGATGTTGTGTAAGGCCTATTCTATGAGCTATGCTAATTTGTTCCTCTTTAGTCAGCTGAGTTGCTAAGTCTGGCTAGGTGTTGCATGATAGGATGGATCTGGAACTTGTTCTTGATAGGGCAGCAGTGGCTCCTGATCTGGTCCCATCCCCTTGCCAAAGCTAACCCAGTTGGATTGAGACTTGGTGGAGCAGGGAGATGTCATCTGAGGTGGGTGATGTGTAATCTGAGGCAGTTTCCCATCTTCTGGGGCTAGGGGGTGTAATCTATGCACTGTTCTAACAGTCTTTTCAATATTAAGCCAAGTTAAGAACCACATTCTTTATATTAACCTGGTAGGTCCAAAGTCTAAATGTTCCCTCAGCAAAAAAAAAAAAAAACAAAAACAGCCTGTTATTAGAGACTGAAAGAAAAAAAAAATAATGTAGTTTTGTAGGTTACGTGTTTGTAGCTCCTTAACCAAGGGTTATACATTAAAGCAAAGCGAGCATCCTCCCGTGTACTCTGGGAAAAGGTGGACAGATGGCTCTGTGATGCAGGGGATCATTGTTTTTCCCTGTCTCCCCAGGCTTGGGAACAGTCAAGATATAACTCCTGTAGAAATGTCTTTAATGCCCTTCCCATTCGAAACTGTAGGAACTGTTATAAGCCCAGAGTCATCTTTTGAAGAAGAGCCCAGGGCTGGGGCTGTAGCTCAGTGTCAGAGCACTTACCTAGCACATGTGAGGCACTGGGTTCATTAAAAAATAAAAGCATGCTATCCATCTACAACTATAAACAAATGAAGAGCCCACTGGCTCGCAGGCTGTAAGGCCTCCTGCTGCTAACCTGTTTCTGACTTAATTCCACCCCTTCTCTGCAGCTGGGCCACATGTTGGCCTTGCAGCTGCTCCTCTGCCCTTGACTTTATTTTGCTGCTTGTAGTGTTACTCCACAATCATGGTCACAGTGTGGAGTGACACCTAACCTAGGCTGGCCGCCCTCAGAATGAGCAAAGTTTGTGTTTATTAAGGGCCTAATCTTGACCTTTTCATAACCTCATGCACCTTCCTTTCCTCTTCCAGATCACTTCCTTTCCCAACTCCTGTCTGGGAGACTATCTATGTGTACTAACAGAGCAACAGGCCCAGGGCCCTCTGACTTCCACATGGGTTTGGCTTGTTGGGACGAGGGTGGGAGGGGGGAAGAATGTGTTTGGTAACTTTGTCCCTGGACCTCCTCTTGGATGGCTGCTCTATTCAACTCCTCCAGGTTCCTAGTACCTCCTCCTTCCTGCTCAGACCTATGGGTAGTTTCTGTACCATGGTGGTTCCCCTCTCCCCACCCACAGTCGTAATTCCTCCTATGATTGTCTACATCTGCAAAATCTCAAATTATCCTAATTTGAGCGTTGGGAACTGATACCGCTTTCTTAAGAATTTGTCAAAAGGTTAAGTTAGAGATCATCTCTTCTTTCTAGCACTGGAACCATTGTCATTGAATTCTGAACATCTTACCGAGGCTGACTTGATTTACTGTTATTTTGTTTCACTTGTGTCCTTCAAATTATGAGTTCTTGATGGAAGTCAGGACACTCATCAGAGGTTGGGTTATTAAAATCTCTGATAAGAAAACAAAGGGGCTGATAGTCTTTTGGGGACCAAAGGTAAATGAGCCTGAATTGATTTTTTTCTTCTTCTCCAGACTTCCAAAGTGTAATGGCACTTTATTGACTACTTTTCATCTCACAAACTCATTTTTGGGCTGGGTTGGTCCAGTAGAAGAGTGTTCTTTATAGATATGAGTGGGAGATGTCATTGACAGGCTTCTCTCAAATGCCACAAATCTTAGAGTAACAGTGTACTTCTGAAATATAAAATTAACATTTTACAAGGTAATTATTTTTATTGCTTATTCCAAAATGAATAGCTTATTAGAAAAATCAATAAAATAGCATATCAGAATATTTATAACTAACAAGTTAAATGACATGGTAAATAAGTAACAAAGGGCAATGACACAAGTGCTTGAAAAGTCCCCAGACTAGTGTGTACCAGATTCATCTGATTGGGAGTGATCCTGAGTCTTGTTAGAGCAGGCAGCATTCAGCTGGGTCTTGAATGTGGCCTTAGCAGCATTTTGGAATTTGCACAACCATGGCAACAGGTTGGGTGTGGTGGGGCATGATGGGGCTTGGAAGTGAATGTTGCATCCATCCCACCAGACAGAGCTGGTTCTCGCATATGGGACTTCAGGCTAATTCATAATGCAACAGACGGTTGTCAAATACCTGCCTGTGGGGCCAGTCTGCTGTATTGGAGGGTTTGGTTGGTTGATTGTCTGTTGTCATTGCGTTTTGCATTTAGGAATCAAATCCAAAGCCTCACATGTGGTAGGCAAGTGCTATACCACTGAGCTACATCCCTGGCCCAGAGCCTGCTGTATTGAGGAAGCAAAACAGAGCAGTCTTGAGTTCCCACTTCCCACATCAGCACTAAGTAGGATAATTTGGCTTTCTGGGCCTCATTTTCCCAGAAGAGGAACATGTTTTTCTCACAGTTGAGGCTGATAATAAAGTAATATAAACCTCATTGCTGGCAGGAAAGTAAAACAGTGCAGTCACTTGAAAAACAGTTTAGCATTTCCTCAAAATATTAAGTATAGAATTACCATATGACCTAGAATTTCACCCCTAGGTGTAAGACACAAGAATTGAATACAGGTATTCACACAACTACTTCTGCACCAATGTTCATAGCAGCGCCAATTTATATTATCCAAAAGGTAGAAACAACTCAATGCATAAAACAGTTGATAAATGAGTAAACAGATGTTATGTTTACATAAGAGAAATATTATTTGGCCATGAAAAGGAATGAAAATTACATGATATGAATGACATTGAAAACATTAAGTAAAAGAAGGTGTACGTAAAAGGTCACATATTTTATGATTCCATTTATATTAAGTACCCAGAATAGGCAAATACATAAAGACAGGCAGCAGATTAGTGATTGATCTGGAGAGGGGGAGAGGGAGACCACTTGCCAGATACAAATATATACCCCTAAGCCATGCCCCCAGCCCCCCGCCTTTTCCAGCCACACACCACCTGCCTTCAGTTGCCACTCAGTTAATCCCATCGGGT